ACCCTGTATCTGCCCGGCCGGAATGCAAGAGCTAGTCGGCACCCTATTGCATCCCGCACAGGTCTGACAGAAGACTGACTGGGCACCGGACGGGTCCCCAACAGAAACCGGTCGTCAAGGGGACCAAAATTTTGTGAATTTTACATAGAAGCCGCCTCAGCGCCCCGACAGGGAGCCGTAAAGGAAAATTCAATTGTGACCCTGACAGCCGGCGTACGCTCGGCTTCATGACGCCGGCCGGCGTCTACACCGAGACATGCCGAGCAGGCCCCGTTTCACATGTGACTCCAGCTGACTACTGATCCGTTCTTCCAGTCCTCCAGCACTTCCCTGTGATCGCCGTTGAATGCCAGCTTTATTCCAGGGAAGGCGTACTAGGGAAGACGGTTATGGTTCTATTAAAGCGTTTGCGATGTACGGCGATCAGAAAAGCATCCATCTCACAACACAGTCACCCTCGGCTTTCAGCATCTCTGAAGTGATGCCATTCATGCCTGGTGACTGACTTCAGCTTCAGAGATGTCCTCGATCTCAACAGGTAATGGGTGTAGGTGTTCATCAAAGACTAATGCTACTGAGGTATGGCTTGAGCGGTTTAAGACTTTTTGAAAAGTATTCTGCCCACCTGACAAGCTTGTCCTCCCCCTAAGACAGTGGTAGGGTCCCATCCTCCGCCTTAATTAGGACTGTGCACTTTTGAGCGGCCGCCGGTCATCTTCCTGGAGATCTGTTAAGCTTTTGTCCCAATTGTAAAAAAAAAGTCCCTGGCGGGTAGTTCCCGGGCTGTTTTTGACACTTACAGCCGTGGGACACCCCGCGGCTACCGGGCTATTTTTCTTTGGCCTGTCCGGGACTCAGGAAGAATTCAACTTAAATTCTACGCGGGCCACGCTGACATAAAATTCAGGACGTCAAGTTAGCGCTTTATTCTGCCTGTACACAGACGTTGGTAAGGCACAGGTGTGAGCTTATGAAGGGTCTAATATTTTTTGAACGGATTGTATCATTTATTAACATTCCTATCAGTGTTCAGAGGTACAGGCGCCCATGCTATATACTGGTTAGTTTTTGCATAATTTGCATTAAATTTTGGCGTGATCAATACTGGGATGGTTTATTCTAAATATCTAGCCTTCAAAACATGTGTAAAGTACACATGTATGTGTATTGTATCAAAAGTATTGTTGATACCATGAGATTTATTGAGATATTGACGAAAAACAGATTTTCAGTAATGGCGGCCTAAATTTTCAAATTAAGCACAAAAATATCTATTTGATCTCCACTGAAATGGCCTATCCTCAATAGTTATTCCAAAAACATGGGGAAAGACACCAAATATATTATGATATCATATGTAGTTACTGAGATATTGACGGAAAACAGATTTTCAGTAATGGCCACCTTGATTTGCCTATTGTGCGGCTTTAATTTGCATATTCAGCACAAAAAAACTGGTTTGATCTTTACTGAAATGGCTTAATTCCATTCGTTATCCCTCAAAACATGGGGATAGACACCAAAATTATTCTGATACCATGAGTAGTTCCTGAGATATTGACGAAAAACAGATTTTCAGTAATGGCCGCCCTAATTTGCATATTGCGCGGCCCAAATTTGCATATTTAGCAAAAAATAATGGTTCTAACTTTACTGAAATGGCTTAATCTAATTCGTTATCCCTCAAAAGATGGGGATAGACACCAAAATTATTCTGATACCATGAGTAGTTACTGAGATATTGACGAAAACTGGATTTTCAGTAATGGCCACCTTAATTTGCATATTGTGCGAATTGCCCAAGGATGACAGAGTGGCATCATTCAGATTCTGAAAGAGCACACCTCAGAGATATAGAAACAACAAAAAAACTTTGTATGGACCGCATTGCACGCTTATTGGTCTCTGCCACCAGACTAAGAAGAGAACAAGAAATAGCCATGCCTTCAAGTACCAGAGTTATCAACCAAGGATTGAGGTGTTCAAGAATTAATTCTTTCCTAGAACTATTGCAGAGTGGAACTCACTGTCACCAAGTACAGTAGGGGCATTGTCAATAGATAGCTTTAAACAAAGTCTACAGCTAGAAGTTCAAGGGTTAGGTGTAACAAGTCGATCGGTGTAATATAGCCAGCTGCCGCTGCGCCGTGTGCCTGCGAAGCTGGTGTGTTACGCCGAAAGTCGGTTATACCGGCTATACAGATACAGATAACCTTCCCACAAATATAACTGATGCACAGATTAAAAAATGGCAGACTAGGTTAGTACTCACAGTTCTGCTATCTTTGACATCTTGATGTGATGCTTGTCTAGTTTCTTCTGAAGTGCTGTAACCTGCATGTAACACACATCATGAATTATTAACCACTGCTTATTAATTAATAGGTAAAAAGACTGAGCACTCAAGGTATATCTAGATATTGCAACATTTTGAATCTATTTTTTCTTCCATCATTCTTTTTTCCATCAATCTGCAACATACCTTTTTTCCAAGCTTCCAGTACAAATTTCTTATTTACAACCACCCTTCCTTCTCACTCTGTTCCTTCACTGACTCATTGGCAATGACAACCTTAATATTTTTTTAGTTTAAACAACAAATTGAATGGTAAGAAATAGGGCACCCACCTGTTTTTGTAGCTCTTCTGGTTCAATTTGCTCTTCAGTGATGTCCAGACCTCCGTTTGTAGTTGACTGTAACAACACAATGGACACAATGAACCAATAGTTATGCACTACTTCAAGGATTCAAGGATGCTAAAATTTAACAGACAGGCACCCCAAGAGACAGCAGATTTAATGTGTGTGTGCTAAAACATCTAATAAATATGTTCATGCCAACAAGGTGGACAAATCCTTCCCATATTTTATTACTTTATTCAAGTTCTGAAACATAAATTCAGGTTTAACACAGATCATCTGCAATATACAACTGTTTTAAATTAACAATAATCATGTAAGAGACAAAATGACTGCAGACCTTTCTCTTCTTTGGTGTGTCCCCACAGCTGACTCTACACGACTTCTTGATGTCCATTTCTGTTGTATTTACACACCCAGGCTGCAGGGAAGGGTACATCAAAAAGATGCAGCATCTTTCAGTCAGTACACAGTCAGGATCAGTTCTCCCTGCCCACCAGGCTTGTTGGATGGAGATGATTAGTTGGTGTGACTACTGGAGTTAGGCTGTGCCAAGGGTCTAATTACCATGGTGCTGAATTGCCTTCCATTGACTCAGCTGTGCTGCAGCATTCTCTTCATACCTAACTGGGCATTGTGGGCAGCACCAGAACTTGTGAAGCTTTTATTTAGAGCAGCGACACAGCCATTTAAAAGCAGGTTTCTTGTGAGTTCTATTTGTGCACTTGACCCTACTATTTCTCCAGATTCAAACTGTACCAAAAAATACATCCTTGTCAAAATCAAGTGCTCATCAAAAGAAAGAAAGTAAAAAATAAGCAATATACCATATGGTACATTTATTTGTTTTGTGTTGGAAGTATTGTACTTAACTAAATTTTAAATGTGAGCAGCCAATTTATGTGCAAACCATGTGCAAGTTGTCAATCTAATTTTGAAAATTGGTCATACACACTCTCTCTTGTATCATCTTCAATGTTGCTGACTTGTCATTGATGTCTAGGTAGGGAAACACATTATAGCTCATTGACATTTACTGCTAATTGCATAAAATTGGGTGCAGTCATAACATTTATGAGCTTTAAGTCTGTAAAGTCTACATCAAAGCATGAATACACTTTTACTCTAGATACTATAATGTTTTAACTATCATTCAAATTTTAAAAAATCATCATAATTCTAGATTTCTTTTATCATAACTTAGTCACAATGAATGACATGGATAACCTTTATGATTAATACAATAAATGTGACATTATAGTGGGTGGTCTTGACCAACCTAGATTTAGTAGATTGCCAGCTGTGACTATCAGTAGTGATTACTGCAGTGTGAAATAAATGAGGACCATGCAAAGTCAGTGAAGTACTGTAATGTTGCTAATGATTGGCTGTGCTACAAAATCATAGACTATGTTACCATGGCAACAGCTGTTCTATCAGATATCATGAAAAAATTCATCATACCACTGGTCTATGGACATCCCAAAAGGCCCTTTCTTGGCTGTCTAGAATTTTTCTCTCCACCTTGTCTCTCTTCTTGTCCACTCTGGAAAGGTCACTGTGGGTTAGCAAACACCAGAGGAAATGGAGCATTCTACAGTTTCTCAAGGCATGGTTCATATCTGTTAACATTATGCTTCACATGTTAGGTTTTTGTGAAATGTCTGCTCTCCAGTCATTTTCCTGAACAGTGCCTGTTTGGTTTTGTTCTTACAAAACATGCCCTTTTTGATATACATATACAATGGAATTCCTTAATGTTTGTTTAATCAAAGAACTCTATCTAACCAACAGATTGATAATCCCTGTTGTCATTCTTGACTTTAATCCAAAAACTTATTGCCAAGTTTGTTTCATCATCTATGAGGGGGCTTCTACTTTCCTTCCTTAACCTCACTTCATATCCAGGTACTCCAAGATTTCAAATCGACTGTTGACATTTATGTCAGCTCATGAATTATGTATAATGAAGGATTAGTCTTAGATTCTTCCAAGTCCCTTGTTCCTATCTCTAAATTAGGAGTTAAAACATAGTACAGGGCTGTAAAGCCACATGGGCCAGAGTGTTGGTTATGTGGTAATTGCATCATAATCTGCTTAATAAGGACTAAAGCTGTGAACCTGATAGCTCTTTAACTTAAGCCTTGTATCTGTGTTGAAAAAACATAATAAATCAGTATTGATAATCTGATTTAGATTGATTTAGATAATTGATTTAGATTTATAAATGACATAAAATGTAAGAGAGCACCATGAAGAAACAACAAACAAATGAGACAATATGTTAAGTTTAGTAAGTGATTATTAAAATACAAAATTGCTTACTTTGCTTGTGCCTCAGCTTGCATGAAGATGAACTCCCATTTCCTTGCAAACATCCTTTGTAGCTTGGCAAGATTTTCCTTAAAGAACCAGACAAGAGTGTTTCTACAGAACTAACACAGATGGTTTTAAGATGTTTTGGATTTACAGGAAAAGTTATTCTTGACACATAACAAATATGAAGGTTTTTACCATGATCAACACTACAGCTTTTATCATTCAGTCAGGAAATATGCGCAAGTTACAAAAAAAAACAGCATGTTTCAAAGGTAAGAGACATTTCACCCATGATGTCAAGAATCCCCAGGATGAGTGTTTTATTATCATTCATTGCAAGGAAACAGAAAGGCTGCCAAGATGTTTTGATTCTGTATAAAATCTGTGCAAATGTAGAAAGGCTCTGCATTTTACATCTCACCATGTCAATGACCTTGTTCCTATTCTGTCTACATTCTGAGTAACTACACCGGGTGGAACCATTAACAACAACCTGTTTGTACCAAACCACACAGGTTCAATTTTCCAGGTAACTGATACAACCTCTGTGCTGTATGCCACCCACAGATTGCTGAAGGATGATAACCAAGTCATGCCATGTACAAATAGGCTGTGCTAGATTGGCCCCAAGATGTCGGACTTGTCAACTTGAAATCTTTCCAACCAAATGCAAAGTCTGTTGATTGCCAATATAAATTATTGCCACCATAGAAGTTGACTTCAATGACGTAGATTATAGAAGGTGAATTTCAACTGTGAAAGACAATTATCGGTGCATAGGGGCACGACAGGTGGTCTATTATTAAGTCACATAAAAACTTTTCAACCTATAATCAGTTAATACTTACTGCTTCATAATCCGCCAGTTCCAACCTTGCCTTGTTCTGCATTGTTCTTTTGCATAGGTACACAGCTGTGCAGATGCAGTCAAATAAGGAACAAAAAGGTTCAGGACCATTAGAGAAGCCAAACATAGAAACATTGGATAAACATATATCAGTAAAAGAACTGGCATACCAGGTATTAATGTTACATTTCTGTGAGTTCAGTTTGTTATCATCGTAGATTAAACATTTTTCATATTTCTGTACTGCTGGCCAAATTGTATTTTAGCACTTATCAATCAACAGAATGTGATTTACACCCCAAAATTGTCATAACCCTGCATAGTCTATCGAGAAGAGAAAAAATTTAACCTTCTTGAAGGGCAGAGAATGCAGATTCATTGTATATTCAAGTCCTAAAGAGGCTACATGTATGCCTTTGATATATTCATTAACATTATATATGACTGTTAACAACACATGTTGTATCTGACTAAGGTAAACTAGACATTTAAAACTAAACAAACTTACAGTGTCAAAAGCAGATGTATGTATCAGACAGCTACAATGCAAACACTTGAAGCACAGGGAACCTGATAGCAAAGCCAACAACACTGTACTACAAAAGTCAGAATCAGATATTAGGACTTGTGGATCCTACCATAGTCAGTATTCTCTGGTTCCCAACAATTCGATGGCCAGAAATAGGGAGTCTGAAAAAAATGGTAATATTTCATCTTACAGTGCTTGAATAATCCAAAGAAATTAGTTACTACCAGTATCCATTTATGCTTAAAGAATACTTGTTTTGATTTAACTGATCTTGTTTCAGACTTACCTGAAATCTGTAAAATGTTCCATCATCTTTCAGCATGAGCACATGGTCAGAGATGGGGAAGAAGTATCCGTGGGCAGACATTAATGACCCCAGATGGACGGCCTCAGCTGCACACATGCAAAACATCCAGGTCAACGAGTGGGTCAAAATGTACAGATTATGTATATTTGTCAGTAAAAAATGAGGAGGCATTTTAAATCACACTTTTGTTCACAAATCTTTATTGCTGACTTAATCAATGATGGTTTCAAACACTGCCATTGTCTCTTTTTTTGATAATTTGGATCTCATGGTCAGTATTTGGACAGAGCTCAAATCAGTTAATTAGATGCATAACCCCGACCTCACCTGACCCAGGGTCATCCCTGTAGTATGGAACAAGTAGCGGTGAGTGGTGGAGCTCCCTAGCCGAGCACATCTTTCTCATGTCTACAACATTAAAGTTTACCAAGCCCACTCCGCCTCCTTGTATCTCCTTGTGTCATGAGAGTGCAGATAATTCAGCTCAATGTAAATCTATCTCATAACATACTTCTTATCACCTGATTTTGTGACTCAATATCTTATTATCCTTCTAACTCCCTAGTCAATAACTCTGCAGCATTGTACTAATTTGTCTTGTAATGATATGGAATCAATGCACTGCTTCTTGCAGCAGTAGATGTTTGAGGGCTTTTATTAGCGAAATAATTTAAGGGTCCTGCAGATAACCCAATTAATCTAAGTGCAACATTTTTCTCACTGGATGAAAATCACTTGATGAATACAATGTTCACACAATAAGGCTTTTTCTCATTCTATCTATCTTGTCTGCGACTGGCAACATTTGAGTTCCAATCTAAATGCAAATTTTAAAAGCCAAAAGAACCATTACCTTGATCTTCAACATCCAGCTTCTTCACTATCCAGTTCACGAGGTCAGACCCTGAATCAGCAAACAGAACATGTATGACTGACAGAGGCAACCTGAATACGTAATGTCAGCCTTCATGCTCTGATACAATCAGATAGCAAGAAACCTGATGATAAAGTTTGATTGATACATGTATGTAAGATACTGCACAAGACACTGAATTACTGCTACAATATGGAATCAAAAATGGTAACATTTAGAAGTACAAAGTAAATACAGAATGTTAACCATTTATCATTCAACTAAAGGTAAGATTTAAGATGACCCCTGATGGTATTGGGATCAGATTGATCAATGACATTGTTGATTCATGTACAGTGTTAGCTGTGATCCTGGCCTGTCAACTACATGATTCATTTCACTCATTATCCTGCTGATTTTCTGCAATAAATATGTCATGAAAACAACATAAGTGTAACACTTCTATGAACAGTTTTGGGTTAAATAACTTTAAAGATGCTTATGCCAAATTTGAATAGCCCCAACATTTCAAGGGATTGTGACCCAAAAATTATGTCCTCTTTTATACAAATCTGTCTATCTTAATGTTTCCATCTTTTTTTACTTTGAATTTCATTTTATTCTACAGGGGTGCAAATTTCACAAGGTTTCATTTTGGGGACCTTCATAAATATTAGCTCAGAGGGGTTAAATTTGCATTGGTTTTATTTGCTTCGTACATTGGTTTTATTTGCTTCGTAATTTACTGTCACAGACGAAAAGTTCTTAACTCATTCAACATGTACTGCAAAACCTGTGAATTTCAAGCTGACTATTACTAACACTTGGCAAGGAAGAACTTGGCAATCATCAGGCAATTACCCATGCGTATTTTCAACATTCATCTGGTATCAGTGACATCCTATAGTCCCACAAGGACATTAGTATGCAGATGGATGTGGAAAGTAAATCTAGGGTATCATCATCATTGAAAAAGGTAACACAGGGGCATAGCAAGGAGTATTCAATTGGAATACTCTCCACAAACACGAGGCAATGTTCTCATCACATTGGACACAAAGCTTAGCTCAAGTACACAAGGCCAAGACAACTATGTCATCAGTATTTGTTAGCTACCAGGTATCATCTATGAAAGAGGTAACATTTGAAATTGTAATGTCAGAGTTCACAGTATTCATTCCTAAACCATGTCTAGCTGTTTACAGTAAAGTGCCTCAAGAACTCCCTTGACACTGTGTCAGTCTTACCTATGCAGCCATCATGCATAAACTGAGTCAGAACAGGACCAAAGGATAATGTCGTAGAGCCACAGAAGTAAAATATATCCCATGTTTTAATGTACAATGGTTACCATGAATTTTATTTGCCTAAAAGCTCAGTCAAATAGTATAATGCAAATTTATACTAGGGTGCTACAGAATCATAATGAAGTCTGCAGCATTTTTAGTGGAAAACATGGACTGAAGCAATGCACCAACCATTATGTAAGTAACTAGTCATCATGTTTTAAAGTGTACCATGACAAATCATTTGGCCATCCAACTAGAGTTGAGTCCACTGGGACCTTGTGGTCATAGATTCACCTGAAATGACTTCTGATTAAATGTAACATTATACTTATAAGGACATTCAAGCATATGCAGATTCAATATCATACTATTGCTGATACCATAATTTAAATTAACCTAAACCCTTTGTACTTTGAGATTATCATGGTGTACCAAGGTCTGTGATACTAATCTTTCAAGAGTGTGAAAATGGTCCAGGGACCACACCTAACAACTGGACAAAGTTCCCATTGGGGTGTCTGTCTGTAGAATACGCAGCTAATTGTACCAGGAAGGCATGGTCTCCTATTCCCAAGGACAAGTCAAGGACTCATTAATGTTCCATGGATCTCACCACAGGTTGGGATGAATATAAGGGGTCCAAAATACAATCATGCCTTTTCATTTTACATATGTGGACTGACTGAGTGATACAAAAACCTGACCATTATAATGGAGTATGTTCAGCATATCAAAGTAGCATATGCAATTATGAACTTATGCACATCAACCATATGCACATAATCGTTGCAAACCTTTGATATTTTGGGATGGTTTCAAGGGATCTGATAGCTGGTTCAATGTTACAAATATAGACCAATACTCTGTTAGCCCAGGGGCTTTTATCTGAAACACAAGAATCTGATACTGACTGATATATGCAGTTACCCAATGAGAAAGACTCAGGTTCAGCACATCAACACTGAGGTTTGTTAACTGGCTCACTGACCATATCTTTTACAAAATTAATACACAAGTCAAGATAATTGACCACAGATAAGCCAACAAACCAAATACCAAGTATTGCTAAAATGATGAACTGGTATATACTGTTGTCCAAAGCTACCAAGACATAGCAGGATCATGAATATTTAATCATGCTGTTTTCAGTGCTTGTATGCTACTGGTATTCTTAATGGATGTGGAAATGTTCATGGATATGCATGAATGGTGAGGAAAATTAGGTCACTTTGTGGTCTCCTATTGCCAAAACCCATTTCTGCATTGTCAGCATATCACATGTGTACTTATAACGTTATATAATGTACAAACACTAAACATTTGAAGTTCTCACAGAAAAAGCAATTACTAGTAATAACGACATCATTAGGAGGCCTTTAACTCTTGTCGACCAATCAGATGGCTTTTTGCATCACAAATGTCTAATGAAGTACATGAAGACCCAGATAACAAGGGGATACAACAGCACGGTACCCTGCATGACTGTCCAATCAACCATTCTATTTCCTGATTTATGATTGCCTCACAATCCCAGGCAATTACAGAACAGATTCTATAGCCCCACATCATGAGGGTCATGGGTACACAAACAGAAATTGTAATAACTCAATTACAATGTTCTTGTGACACTGATCATCAAACGGGCTGAATCTGTAGCAATATACAATTATAATATACATGTACTTTCATGAATAGGTGCTAATCAGTTATGTGTTTACCAGACATTTTCTGACATTGTAGAGTGATTAATTTGATCAAAATCATGGATGCAGCAAAACCTATCAATCTTGTTACTGGATGGGTACAAATAAATTAACATGATTCATAGAACAGGCAATCAACTTGAAATCTGGACAGGTAAGCTAGACAGTAGTATCATGAGAGAACTGTCATGTGTGTCAGTATGGGAAGACATAACCTCCATTCATCAGTAAGAGCTGCACCAACAGACCTGTCCTTGGTGCTGAATGCTACCCATGTTCACACATGAACAGATCTGTCCCAGGTTCTAAATACTTGCTATATACAAATAAACAGGCCTGTTCTTGGTAATGAACACAATCCATGTACAGATGAACAGACCTGTCCTTGGTGCTGAACACAATCCATGAACGCATAAACATACCTGTCCATGGTGCTAAACACAATCCATGTACACATGAACAGACCTGTCCTTGGTGCTGAACAAAATCCATGTACAGATGAACAGACCTGTCCTTGGTGCTGAACAAAATCCATGTACAGATGAACAGACCTGTCCTTGGTATTGAATACAATCCAAGTACACATAAACAGACCTGTCCGTGGTACTAAACAGTCAGGAACAGCAATGTCCCAGAGATTGTATGTTATTCATAGAATGGAAAAGATGGTTGTCAATGTAGAAATTCCCCTGGTTCTAAACACTTTGCTGTCAATTAGAAATGTTATTTATAGATAAAATATAGTTAAATATGTATATGATTATACTGAGATCCAGTGCAATTGAATTACCTCATGTAGTGCTTATATACGTATTCCTAAATACTAGTACTATAACAAAATATAGATGTGCAAAACCATATTGAATGTTTTATTCAACTTGTTCTGAAATACACATGATGCAATAGTAAATTCACTATCATCTGATTCCGAGAAAATAATAGGATATTATGCCTATGTGCTTATCATTGGCAGGAATATGCTATTGTAACCCCTAAAATCATACTAATGATATACATGTATGTATATAAAGACTTCTGTGTGCCAGAAGAAGTTATCTCTAGAAACTTATACAGACAGATGTAGGGGTGTATTCATAATCCTCCTTATATACTACTTCTATGAAGGTCTATGAGATATGTCTAAAAGAGGACAGCTTCTCCATGCAGTAGATACATTTGTAAGAAGACATCAAAATGTACTCATCCCCCTCCCTGCAACCATTATTGTCCTAACAAATGACTACTTCCAGCCTTTGCCTAACCCATTTGAGCCCTGAAGGGAAGGCACTATGCAAAATGACTCCATAAAATTCTTAGTTTCATCATTAATTGTTACAGCAGATCAATCTGAAGAAAATTAGAAGAGAAACCAATATGTCATTTTGTAGGTTTTGCTTCCTACTGTGCCTGCAAACCTGGTAGAATGGAGATAACCATTGTACATAATTCAGATTTGGTCACAGTTTTGATGATGTTGTTTCGTTCCATTAAGCCTTACTGTTTGCATTACATGGAGCTTATTTACTGGCCATTTACACCAAGGATCAGTTCCAATTTTCCTTGAGTCCTTGTCTACAATTTCTCATAATGAACAGTGTTAATATACTGACAGGCAAATAGTTGCTGTGCAACTGGTAATAGCAGCAAGTTTAATATGTTTGTGTGTAGGAATGGTTTTCTGGGGAAACATACTTCTGATCTGGTTGTTTTTACAGCTGATATTCAGCACCACGGACAGGCATGCTTCTTTAAGTCAATTACACATGGATGGTATAATGGCTGTCCTAACGAACCTTGATTTCATCAAATTATCTTATGCATTTTTTTCTTTGTACCATGTTAAAAGCCTAGAGGTAGAGGCTTGTTCAGAATATGCACAGACATACATGTACCCCCACGCACTGCAACCATGGCATTTCGGGGTTTATTCCTAATGGGACAAAAACTTCCTATGATGTTAGCTGTAACAAAGCCCCAGTGTGGGGTAGATTGCCAGAAGGGATGGTATGAGTCATGCTCTGTCTCTCCACATCTTTATTTGTATGCAAGGCAAGGCTCATACAGGCAGGAGAGTTATTCCAATTGGGCTCAACAAGTCACGCAGTCATGATAAAGGTCACATTGGGTCGGGTCCCACAGGAAGCTTAGTTTGATCAAGGGCCTGTAGTAGCGGTTTAACCCTCAGAAGCCAACAAACGCCTCTTTGCACCAAATTTGGACTAGTTCAGTCATAAGGTAGTGATAATAGCTACCGCAGCTATTTTTGCTGGTTCAAGCAATTTTTGTGCTGCCCTGATGTAGCTCATGTAGTTTACATTAACTCCTGACCTCTGCCATACCCAGTCCTTTCATCTTATGAAAAAAACAATGATGAATCTAAACTAAAGCAAGGATAGCCACTACTGTAGATACATGAAGGCAGCATGATCCATCCATATGCAGTTGGTGAATGTAGCATATATGTACTCATAGTCACTTTCTGTATCCAGAAGGCTTTTACTATAGTAGAGATAAATGTACTTCAATGTAACAATAGAGCAGCAATTTGTCATGGTCAAGTTATGATCCTTTTTCCTATACATATAACTTACATAGACTGAGCTAGGCACATTCAAAACTTCAATTCATATATCATACCTTATACTTGGATATGTAATGTTACATTTAATAGAAATATATGAATATAATTCATGATATTCTGGTAGGTGGACTTCTGTTCTTAAAACCAATACCAGAAACCTTATGATTTGCTTGCAAATACCATCAGGTGATTGAATTATAAATCAAATACTCTGATTGGCCACAAAGATATTTCTAGGATCAAGTGTCATCTTGCTCAGGCTTTGAAGAAGACCCCTGGGGCTCTAATGTAATACAACATATTCCCTTGTGTTCTGAACAGAATAATTTGAGACTACCGCCTATTGGTTTATGAGGAAATTCACAGAGGTAAAACATTAGTGCTTACCTGTAAACACACTTGGTATTTTGGTCATAAAGCTCTTCACTGTTCTGATAGGCACCCCGTCTTGCTCTTCTTGCATGTGCATGACAATTCGCTCCATCTGAAACATACAAGCCATCATTTAGTACCAGCACAGCATAGAAATATGCATCAAATGTTCTCTTTTATCTGTGTTTAAATCTATTGCGCTTCATCAGAAGTAGCTTCTGGCCTCTGGTCACTCCATTTTCTGTGACCCTGACCTGCAGCATGTAGATGCAGGCTTTGCCAACGTTACCTTCATGTTTAGTCTGTGTGTGTGTGCGTGTAAACACAGTAACTCAATTCAAGAAGGCTGAGATGGATTGTCTTGATATCTGGTAGGTGGACAGTTTTGATGAGACCTCAAAATGATTGGATTTTGGACCTGCTGGCAGTGCCTTCCTCATTCATGTAGGACTATTGACACGTGTGATGTATGTAATGGAGAAAATAAGGATATTGATTTTATAAATGAAGACTTAACTTTGATAACTGATAAGAAAATGTTATAATCACTTAGCGGTGACTGCCAGAAATTTCATACTTTTGGAAGTCAAGTGAAGTCAAGTGAGGGTGAACATCATTAAACACAACATATCAGGGACTTATTTTCATGATTTATGATGAAATGCTAGAATGTTAAGACTCTTTGTTAAGATAAGTCACTCATTGGGTTGTCAATATAATCTATGGATATAATTAATGCCAATCTTATTTGCATAATCTGTGAGAAATGTTTATAATTCATCAGTTGTAAACATTAACATCATTTGGTGAAGGTATGCGATCATGGAACTCTAGTTCAAAGATAACATATAACTCCCTCAACTGTAGTATCAGGTCAAGCTGCTTTTGACTGCATTAAGACTACCTAACCAAATCCATCCTAAGAAGCAGACTGGCCAATGCATATATATTTCCTATCTCTAGCAGTTTCGAAAAAGAGCATTTCCTCTGAGGGGATCTGTCTCAATCATTTTCTACAACTATGTAATTGATCTCTATGCACCTTTCTGCATCAGTGGAAGAGACTGGGCTGTCAGCAGAGCAGCACAGAGCTATCTCTGGTCTGCTACCCTTTTCATACCTGGGCGTCACCCCTCTCCATCACTAAAGGCCTCTGAACTCACTGTCAGTAGACCCAACTATTAATATTGGGGTACGAAAAGAGAGTTCTCAGACTTGGCAGTCATCCAAGACTCTTACCAGTGTGTCTTTATTTATACCCAGTGGACACATGTGTGCCATAATAGAAGAATAAAGGCACAGAGCTATCCATATCATTTTATATTTACAGTTTTTTTGACATTCTGAGTTTGACTTGGAAATAGGAGCAGTGATGTCAACTTCAACAATACACTATGTTGTGGTATGCAGACATTCAGGGTGGTTTAGGTTAGTGGATTTGTGATGGCTTCTATATTTCTGTATTGGAAACAGTGTTTAGCATAAAAACAAACATGATAGGGCTGTTATATGTATGCAATAATCTAGATGAAATATGTTCTCATAAGAGCTCAGGGAAAACTGATTTGATATGGTTACTTTCCCACTGTGGAGTAACATTCTGCATTTATCAGATACATTTGATACAGTTATCAACGGAAAAATGGGGAGTGTTTAAGTGCACACCATTGTTTGCCGTTGCAGGTTATGTTATATTATTTATCCCTGTGCAGAGACTCAGAGCTTCATCACCCTTTCCTGTGTAATCCATTCCCATTCCCACATTTACATAACATTCAACACTGTGTGGCAAATTACTCCGTATTTCAAATTAAAAGTTAGTGAGCCATGTGTGATTGCCATCAGTTTTCATGTAATGGATTATCACAACCAAAATTTTACCTGAGAAAAATTTAGGTGGTCATAAAACGTATAATTCTTCCAGGTACCCTATGGCTGCCACATAAAAAGTGTTATCTAGGCCGTCTCAAAAATTTCTCGACATCTGAATATCTGAAGTTTGCATACCTCAGGGATTACTTATGCTATATGAACTAAATCTCTTTTTTTTATGTGGTGTTCTCAGGGAACTATGCAGGATTATGAGAGTTAACGTTATCCTTTATCAAAAAGAAAGGCACACAGAAAGGAAGAAACAGTTCTGGTGCTATGACAACATTTGAAATGGTGGTTATGTAGTAAGTCTCAATTTCCATATTTCTACAGGCCTACTCATCATTACTGTCAAATATTTGATTTGTAGCATCCATGAGGGTCTTGCCAAGTAAGGCTGACAAATGCCTTCAAGACAACAGGCATATATCCAATAATTCTGTCCTCTAGATAGCAATAACATTGATTTAGATACTCTTATTGGTTACAAAGCCAAGGACTCTCTGTATATTCCCAGCATAGCCTAGTCGGACCAACCTATGTTCAAGAGCAATCCATCAAAAATATGGATAGACAATAGATCTTCTGACTACACATGTACTTTGACTAGAAGGCAGGTAGTCGATTCAGGGGTGTATGAAAATGCACGACAACACTCTCCTAACTGGATCATATGCATTGCTTGACATATCCCAAGGACATTATTTGATGCAATTGCAGTTACAGATGCCTGATTATATTGGTGGTATTTCGTGATGCTTTGCAATAGAAAGGGTGACCAATCGAAAGGACTTATTACTGTCACTAGGTGGCAGGAAAACAATGGAGATACAAAAATGATTAGCTTATGCTAAGTAACTACAGCATAAATATGTCAACCCATTCTTAATCACCATGGAATGTGAAAAAAAAAGGAAACATAAGAGGTAGGAAGAAAATGGCCAGGGGTGACATAAAGTTACATAGAAACCGTGAACTGTTTGAAATAACAGGGTCTCTTTCAGTTGGTAGAAAAGGACAAAACAGAAGGAAACAGAGACCAGATGACTTGGAAATTTCAAACATCTGCATCTCCCTCCCCTCAGGCATCCCAGTCTGTTCTTTACTTACTGTTGGAGCATTTCAGATGTGCCAATCCTTGCCTAGAATGGTTGCACAAATTGGAAATAAATCTGGAAGATTGCACATTTTTGGTGACCCTCCATCTCATAAAGCCTGGTATTGCAGCACCCAGCACTACCAAATTGAGCAATGGCAGCCAATTGTGTGTGCATTCAAATGATTTATCTAGTACATGGCTACACTGGCATCTTTGCACTGTGCCATTTTGCCCACTACTTTTTAAAAATTGAAGCCCTGGATAATGTAACCCTGAAATAGCTTTAGTGACTTCTAGCCCAACCTGCTGTGTTTTGATATGTTTTGATACTCTTCCTTTCCACTGATAGCTGTTGAGCTAACCTGTCCAGGTTTACATCTGATATGATAGGACAACTTGGCTGTGTGCAATCTTTTTCTCCATCTGACTCTGGCTACTTTACATGATGCCATGAATCCAATACCACCAAAGGTCGTCTGGCCCTTATCACAAGCACATCTGATGATTTCCAAACGCCCTACTGTTAAAGACTTGCGGTATATCTGACGGGAATAAAGCGTCAGGTTATTTTTCTCCTGTGATGTAGGCCACGGGTGTTCCCTGAGGGAAGGAAGATGGTGCATTGCCAGGAGGATCGAGGATTCCATTTCCAGAGGCACACACGTCACACGGTGTGACCTTAACGGCGCTGGATCAGAAAAACATCCGGCTGAACAATTACTACCTGCTCTCTTTGTCGTTAATGTAAGGTAGATGTAGGGACAGGCGATTTAGGGTGCAGTGAGGTGGATCGAGAACCTGTCAAAACATCAACCTCACAAATGTGCATGCCGGTGGTTAGCCAATTGTGCTGAACCTACAATTTAAATATTTATTTGTAACAATTTAATGCCGTGCTTGGTATTGAAAAAGCGCAATTTTATCATCTGCGGGAGGCGGACGTACGTTAAACACATGCTGATTCTGTTCGTACTCAGTAAATTGGAATAGATAATCCCCACACCGGCGGAAACGCCTTTCAAGGGCGGCCGACATCATAATAAACGTTCTACAAACGGCCCTTTACCCTTGAAACCCCCTCCCAACCTTTGTTGGTAATCGCAGACGTACCGAGACTATATATTAAATGGAAACACAATAATTACCTTCCTGTACAGTAGCAAGTTGGGCGACTCTTTTACAGGCCCGTTGGTTTCACTCCGCCGTCTGTGCCGTCCGGCCATTTTGCAAATCACAATCTTCAGTCTCCTTGAGGAGGCAAGCAAGACAAGGCTGTGGGGTTATATTCCTAAAGAGGCTGGTATCGATCTGAGGCAGTATGTATCAGAGTATACAGCGTCTCTGCTCCATATTGGAGACCTGGCTGAGGCTGGGAACAGAGATGTTTCTTCCCGGGCTACAGAAATGCGCCGCTCCTCACTGGTGATCAGGTCTCAGCCGAGAGGGCAGCTCGGATAGCGTTGGCCTGGAGCTATCGATGTGTCGTCTCCGTCCACATGCATCTCCCGAGGGTGCAGGTTCCCAACAGCTACCTCCGAACATCACTCAGCACAAGCTCCTATTTGAAATGCTAAGGATGCGCCGGGCCTTGCTTATCATTCAGTGTGCAGGTGCGCCATGTTGATGACGCAACCGTCCACCAAAGTCGGCTGTTCATTATGCCTTTTGTTTTTGTGCATACGGACATATTTTCCAGTCGACATCCCCGGATATCCTTATTTGGTTTTGGTTGGCAAACAAGGATCTACATTGGGTCAGGAGATGTCACTAATGAGAGGGCATCCGGACAATTGTCGTTTGATTGTTAACAGGTGAATAACAGGGTTAATTTTGGGAACGTCATCGGATGTTTTTAACATAAGGCCCAAATCGAAAACCTGTAAATAAAGAATACAAATAACACATGAATGATTGCGTTTTATTCATTGTAATCTTTAACTTTAACAACTAAGCAAAAGAAGCAGTGTACTTAATCAAAATGTTCTTCAATATCTACGAAATGTATTGAAGGCTCGATATATATTCTTAATATATATCGATTATGTTGTAAAGCCAACCAGAAAGCAAGTACACAAAATAATGTGCATAATGTTACACAAATTAGTTCGTATGAACGCCCCAAGAAACTTTCCTTTTCACCAGTACACTCACGCACACCCGCTAACCCCTCTGTTCCACGAATTTTCACGTTTGACTTTCCGATTGAAATGTTGGGAATGTATCCAACTGATACGCCAGCGGGAACATTCTACATTCATGAATGCAGTTACCATCGCGTTACTGATACGCATACAGACCGTGCGACTGATCAACACGGACGCTGCATTAAAACATCTCCTGATGGCAGAGTATATCATGAGGAGGCAGATACATCGTTTGTAATTCCCCGTACGCCTGATGCCATGCTGATCAAAGATCAGTCCTTCTGCGCCTGAGGGGAAGTCGGGTTACATTCTCGCCGCCCCAGATAGTGTACCGTATCTTTTTAACCCTCCAAACCAACGTTCGGCCCCTTCTCCGCTGCTTGCTAGACAATAACAAAGGTAGCCTGCACATTTTTCTGAAATCCCTAATGTCACAGCGTCAACCAAATGGAAAGCTTGGCACGCGGTCAGTTATATTCACAGTTTATCCGTGCCATTTGTTAAGGGAGGGGTGATATCCAGTGATCCAGACCGTAGGATGTGCGTTCAGCACCAAGGATGCCCCCGAAAATGAATGGTTTGTCAGCGCTCAACGTTTGGCGCTCACACTTTGTCCATTTCCTTATTTGAAGTGCAAATAAGCCAGTCTCTGTTTGGTCTCTGTTTTGATCTGGTTAAGCGTCCTGATTGTGAATATTGATCAGCTTGTTTTATTTATTGTGACCTGGCGATCAGCCAATCGTAGGTCTGCGACATTTTTTATGTTCCACGTAATAATACTGAGCTTCTGACTGGTAACAGTTATGTCATGAATGCTGATTGGCGGACTGAATATGTTTTGAACGGGTCAATTCGATAAGAGAAACAGAAATGTGTAATAACCCCACTGATGAAAATTTGATCTTGTTGAAGAAACATGAAACACCCCAAGGCGCAACGTGGTGTGTGTTGGATTCTATATTCCCCAAGGCTTCTGCCAGAAAATCGGAAACTCGCCGCGGTTTTGTGTCCGTTCTTCTTTAATAAACTCATGACCGGGAGCTGTCTTTTTGTACTGTCTTCTTTCTGTATATTTGTATCATGTGTGAATGCTACATTTTCGAACATTACGTATCAAAGAACAGAAAAGACCTGATCCCTGTGCCGATTTGAACCCCGTATGGGACTGATTGGACAGGACCACTATTCTTTTACTTTTTTTATGATGCTACTTGCCACGTGCCGTTAAGATATGCAAAATGAACCCATCAGTTGATTCTTTGCTGACGGGTAACATTTTCCCCCAGTACAATCAATACCGCCGTGTAAGTGGGTTTATTTTAATCGAACCTGATACAGAACAATTGAACGCCCCGAGGTCATAGATCCTAGTGAATAATTGATATCTATCAGTTTCTTGTTCGGGCCAGGATACTACACCTTTGAGTGCTGCACAGTAATTCCCTCTATCGTCTACTTACTTCACTAGGAATCGGTTTTACAGCACACTTTCATCACACCTCGACGGGAATTCGTGAAGGAACCTTCTATCGGGTTGTTGCGGCAGCTGAACCGAGCGGTGTTATAACAAACGCCCTAGCTGTAACCCGTCAAAAGTGGCGGCTCCAAGCATGGTAGGTCGGAGGTTCTTCTCCGAATGGGAGGAGAGGCAGCAGAACGAAGAGGCCTTGGCGGAGGCCAGGCGACGCCGGGAGATGAGGGCGGTCACGACGGCCCTGGTGGTTCTCTCCAGCCTGACCATACTAGTGGGACTTGTGACGATCGGGTCGGGCATTGCCGCAGCTTTCCAGCCTGGCAATACAATCGGTTCCGTTAACAGCCTGTCTGCTATCGCCTGCGGGACCTGTGTAAGTTACACCAAGTGCTATCATGAGAATACGTAAATTACAACGACTTTATTTAGTGTGTGTCACATAGCGGACCAGAATACCATCTCTATTCAGCTGTAGCTGGCATATATTTTAGCATGCATGAAGCTTTATCGCAGAGGTTCCAAATAGAGCCGACCCTTGTTAAACAGGGATGCATGGTAGCCAGCCTGCACATTACACTGATTTGGTTTTGTGCCAATCATCATCATGCACGTAATGACATTATGCTGGCTTGACTGCCTTGCAGCGTTTTTGCACCTTTCGTGACTTTTTACAAGCGTCAATTCTAGCTCATACATTTCGGCGGTACGCTACTGGCACGGCCTATGCATAACGTCGAGTTATTTTTAACTGGTGAGGAGTTATCAATAGTGATCGACAAAGCAAGCCGTGAGCTACGGACTTTTGTAGATAAAGGCGCTGCATTATTTATGTACACATGTCTCCATCCAATTGTCGATGTTCGATGGAGTAATTGATGAGAAAGCCATGATTAAGCTACTGCAACACTCTCTAGCGTAGCTCACAACATATGTGTGATCATCACAGCTTCGGGAAGAATGGTGAAATTGAGTTACAGGGAAGAGACTGTACGTCAGTCGGAAACCACATTCGTCTATTAGCTGAAATGCATTTTGTTAATGCGTTCGACTCAATTGCTTGGAATGTTTTCAGGCCGAAAGATGTAACCTAACGCTCTTAACTCGACGTGCTAGTCACGATAGTGTACCCGTCTTCTCACTGCAGTAAACGTCCTATTAATTGTAGTCATCGGCTTACAACTAATGAAGTTCTATCATATCGTTTTTCTCTTGGTTATATATTATGTACGGTTTATGAAAGCTTACAGTGATGAAATAGAATGAAGCATCCTGCAACTGGTGGCGTACATGTCTTTTCGTATTTAAACACTGTTTTCGTATTTTTACAAGCACTAAATTCTGTACACCGCTTAGATTTTAATTTAGATGACTCAGTATTGAACGATGCATCTCACGAGAGGTTTTCCCTGCGCAATGGAAAAGTCGGGAATTGACCCAGGCCCCCTTGCCCAATCAAATGTACTGACGAAGTCTCCACACAACTGTAGTGAAAGGAAACAACTTATTCACTTTCTACACCCCTTTAGTTATAGCTGCATGCCAGAAATTTTGTTGCCTGTGACATAAAACTATTCTTATTAAAACCTTTACATTCTCACAATAATTTGATAACGTAGATTTGAAGAAAAAGAAAATCCAACTAAAGCGTGAAAATAGATCTTTGCAGAAATATCCAAGGGGAGAGCCAAACACAGACATTGAAAATGAGCTTTCCAGACATGGGCTCTTTAGTTGTAAATCTTGTTCTTCCTTAAAGGCGCCATGCCTTGTCACGTCATTCCTGAAGATGCCATGTCGACTGAGTTCTAGCAGTGTGGTCTTGAAGTAGGAGACGTGGGTCAGCCTCAGACTTAATCTTTTGCATAGCCTTATATACTCAATACCGGCAGAACTATGACGTGTGTACCAAACAAAATATGGCCATTCTATGTTCGTAAGGTACATAACCGACCTGGTATTTTAACACAATAGTAGAAAATGATGGCTCTAATGTGCATGAGTGGTTAATGTATCTCAAACCCAATGATAACCTCTTAATAAAACTGCAACTGACTAACAAACAAGTAGATGATTGACAATGTCTTAAGGTCATTTTCAATGTGTGCTTCCCCTTTCCACAGTTCTTGTTCAGTGGTGTCCTAGGCCTGGTGCATGTGGGCTGCAACAACTCATCTGCGTGTCTGGTAAGCTTGGCCTTTTCAAACCCTGTTATTTGCTGTTGTACTATTGTTAGTTACAGTAGTACTTTCTGCCCTATGTCACTTCATGGATTAGTTGAAACGGTAGCCAAAAAGTTGATCACAAGTGACAATTTGCACACATTTGTTACTACCATTCTCATGGAATTCTCTGGAACACAGCCTAACAGATGGAAATCTAGACTACAGTCAACCAAGACATATTGCCCACTGGTAGATCTCCCTCATAAATCTCTATGGGACTGTCTGCACTTTTCAACTTTCCTTACACTAAGTTATAGTATCACCTGCAGCAAGGATGTATGTTCAAAGCACAATTCTACTACGTAATCTAGGTGTGCTCCTGATCCACTTCTGAGGGGATATATTAACTTCTCTCACTGTGACAAATGAACTTCATATCATATCATATCATATCGTATATCATATTGTATATCATATCATATCATATATATGTTTGTATTCCCCCCAGATTTTGTGCTTCACTGTGGGCTGTACCATCTCCCTGATCTTCAGCCTCGTATACGTCCAACTCCTCAGACTGTTTGTGGAAGATTTAGAGTCCGGGGAAATTCAACTCTTTGTTCCCACCAATTCCACCTTCCAAAAGGCGGTGACAGACCCTTTTGTGACGGTAGCTCTGGGGAAGACATGTGTGGTGGCTGCTGGGATTGGTTGTGCCACTACCATCATCCTAACCTTTCTGGCCTGCAGGGTTGCCTCTGAGGAGAAGCGGCGATTGTTCATGTTGAGGGAGGGGATAGACATGACAGAACAGCCCCACGGTGCTGAGGTTAGAACAACTGCCATATGAGAACAAAAAGTGAAGCAGTGGGTGAATCACACTAACGTCTTCTGTTTCAAGTGAAATACTAGTACTTTGTGCCTGGACAAAGTTGATTCATATCATCAACTTTCACAAAATGTATCTGCAATAAAGCATTCCAGGACTATTCTCATTGTAATCTGAGAGAAACTATGCATGATCTATGACTTTATTTAGGGCTACTATTTACTTTATTTTAATGTATATCTCTAACCTAAACATGCATGTCGTGGTCATGTAATATTGTGTAAATATAGTGTAAATACAACAAACCCTTGTAAATATAACATTTTTATGTCAGATGTGAACTTTAATATTCCATCACAACTATAGCACTTGTCATAAATGACTACACATGAAATAAAGTAGACAATTCACATATATTTTGAAATACTGGAAGATGTCTTGTATAGGTACTATAATGCTGCACAAACTAAAATAAAGTGTTTTGGTTGCTAATTTCAATATGGCAAAGGTACATGGCAGTTACTGTAAATATATTTTATTTTCTAGTACCTAAAAGGGGAAATGAGGCTTTTGCTGTTCTAAGTTCATGGTTGAAACAATTCTGCCATACAGTAGTAATACATTGAAAATGCATAATTTTATTTGCAGTGTCATGAATTTAATTTACTACCATGAACATTTTAAGATTTGCAGTATATTTCTCCAATGCAAATTGAGTCACAGTACTTAAAAGGAAATGTTAATATATCTGTCCTTTATTCTCTATCAATTTTCACAATTTGTCTTTATGAAGTTCGCCTAGTACCTACACCATCTGTCTGATTCTCTCCCACATCTTCTCATACATGGCTCGATCCTGCAGAACAAGGCAGAAAAACAGTAGTGAGGACTAACCTGAATAACAGGACAACCATTACAGACGGTGTTCCTAGTGAACAAATACCACGATTTTCTATGCTGAACTAGAGTAGATTGTGACAACTGAAAAGCTTAAAGGGTTTAGTGGCTCTCTACAAATGAACAATGTGAGATGGAGTAGATTTGGCTGATGTTTACATTTGAAGTTAGAACACGCCAAACCCCAGTGTGTAAAAGCACATGATAATAAGTTGAGAATGCCTTTGTAATTGTACACCATGGTAGAATAGGTACTAGTAATTAAACTGGTTCAGTGGCAGGTGCTGAGGCACTGCAATGACAACTTGCAATTGGTCATAATAACATGTCATTTCCCCATCCCCTGGGGAGCAGGGCCGGCAGTTGGAGCACAGCCTGAGGAATCCTCCACTAATCCCCCACAGTGTGAGCTGCATACTGACTGAGGGGTTACGTGTGAACATGTGGCCACCTGTAAATTATCAGTTGACAGCTGACAACAACACCTATATTGTCATGGATCTATACTAGTATTAGAGTACTACATAATACCACCATGCACCTTTTCTGAAACTGAAGGCCTGACTTTCTGGAATGCCTTGTTGAAGTGTTGTAGGTTGATCCTGATATGACCAGGTGAAACCCAGTCTGTGCCGGGTGCTGTCCCAGGATGCACCACAGACTCCCGTAAGGCGCTCATGGCAGCCTCACGCACCAGAGCTGCCAGGTCTGCACCACTGAAGGGGAAACAAACTTACAACATTTCTGCTGAATCCATCAGTTGTGAAAAACATTTAGAATAGTCCTTATAATCTATGGGTTGATTGTTCCGTTTACTGGATGTGTCCCTGAGCTGTTTTTTCAAATCGTGCCGCAGTATGCTAAATACAGTGTCAGAAGGGTCAGTGACATGCATTTCTATGTGATCAGTGCCCATGGAATGTAAACAAAAATAGGCAATTTTGCCGTTTTTACAGCCCCTACAGGAAAAATATCTTACCACTACACAATAAATATTAGATGATTTTGAAAACAAATCCTGGTAAAACTAATGATGGGATATGGTAAAAAGGGCAAATTGTAGAGATAACCCTCTAAGCTTAATACTTAGTAATATGCAATGTTATATGCAGCCAAAACAAGGCAGTGCTATCAGTGAGGGCAGTGAATCAGTCAGGGCTGGCGGCATGAGGTTACCAGTTTGCAGTCAAATCATGTATGGAAAATGCCATTTTTTATGAAAACATGTAGGCAGAATCAAATATTTAACCCATGTGGAGAAACAGTAGTTCCTTGGTTTAAAAAGTGTATGGTATGTTATTTCTTCCCTGCATCTTTGGCACCATGTCCATGCCAGCATGCAATTATGGAGTACACTGTAGTTGTCAGTGAAGAATTGCTGTAGGGTGGCCAATTAATGGTCACTTGAGTTATTTCCTGCTAAAATGGTTCTGGCCCCATAACTATTGATGAAATCATTGTGATGTTATAACAATTTGCATAAATTACTGTCTTGAAGACACTTGCTGACAAAACTCCAAGTCTACACTAAACAGCAACATGTACTTTTAGAAGACCTCAAAAGTCCCCAGTCATGGTTATGGCCCACCTTGACTGAGTAGAAATATGATCTTAACACACTGTCAGTTTTTAACAACAGTAATGTAATAGCAGGCTAATGAGCTGTTCATAGTTCATTAGATAATTGATTATCGTTACACAGCTAAGAGGCACTCTGCCTTACCAAATATCAGGATGTTGACATGTTCAGAAGGAGAAATACATCATGCAGATTGTTCCGTGGGGAATAGGCAATTAAGCTAATGTTAGAATCATAGATGTGCCAGCAAACGTGCACGTTAAACAACTGAGGCACAAAGTCACTCCCTTCCTGTATAGCTGAATTTGTAATGGTAAACTGGTTTGACAATATGGTCTTTGTGGCTTACAAGCTAAATGCATTGTTCCTTCCTGTGGTACCATGCTAGCAACACAAGTGTTTACAGTAACTGTTGTGTAATGATGTACATTATTAGCACTGGGGATAAGAGGCAATGAGTTTATACAAGGTGAAGAATATGAAAATGACTGTACATACGTGAAGTTGTTACATTGCGCATCTCTTGCTAGAGATGCCAAGCAGACGTCTTCTCCAATGGGAGGTCTAGTGCCATGCTGATATTTGGGGGGAAAAATGGACATAGTAACATTCAAAATATATCAGTGATCAATCAAAGACAATACAGCACCAATCCTTTTATTGAGTCAATTAAGCTGTATGAACCACCAGAAATCATCCATGTATCAGAAGGCAAATAGCCAAATAGAAATACATGTACATGTACACTTCACGACAGAACTATCTATAATAGGCCAGGTACAGCAGACCTTTGTGATAGTGTTGAGAATAGCTTCCCTGTCTACTTCACTTGGCAGCCCAACAAACAGGAGCTTGTCCATCCTTCCTGGCCGCAGCACTGCAGGGTCTATGATATCTGCACAGGGAAAGGCAGGAGACTTAAGACTATGTCGCAGAAGGTGAATGAATAGCAGTTGTATTCATATTGATTCTTAGGAATGTATGGTTTATGTCAATATGAATGTGAACATCAAAAAGTTTAGATGCAAACTGGCTGAAAACATGCTGCTGCAGTTCCTGACCTGGCCTGTTGGTGGCGCCCATGATAAAGACCTGCTTACGAGCCTCCAGGCCATCCATCTCTGTCAGCAGCTGGTTGACAACTCGGACTGCACCACTGGACTGAGCAAGACGGAATGTGTTCGCATTAGTGCACATGTAAAAGCATTTATGGCTAATTCTTTAAAACTGAAATTAAACTTTACATGGCATATCTGCAACAGTTAAGCTCTAACTGGGTTACAGCATTTTAAAATGTTTCTATGCCTGTATGAGTCGATTGCACTGCTTAGCAAGTACAAAATCTCGGTTTCTTAACTGAGGTTTTGTAATTTTGTGAAGAGTTTAGAAAATTTGCAATACATATTGGATACCATAACATGCATGATTGTGTCTTGAGGCTGACACTTTGAGGGTTAACAACTGTTATGGTGCTATTAGGTCTGTCTCCTACCTCCCCTGCTGAAGATCTCCTGGGACACAAGGCATCCAGCTCATCAAAGAAGATGACACAAGGTGCTGAGTTCCGAGCTCTCTGGAACACCTGCCTCACAGCCCTCTCACTCTCCCCTACATACTGCACGAGACAACAAGTCATGGTTGGAAACAAAGGCAGCATATGCTAGAAGAATGAAAAAAGAACCTTGTTTTTTTTTTTTAAATTTCAAACTAGAAGAGCAAGACATCTTTTTTCTGTATTCTGACCACTGTGCAATGCAACAATATTTTACATGAGAGCAACAAATCAGTCCATTCACTGATTTGAATACTTAACTTATCTCCACTGGGACATTACAACAAAATGGTTAGCACCAGATTGAAACAGTTCCTGTGACAAGCTTTACCATGTTCAAGAGTTCTGGCCCCTTGACAGAGATGAAGTTGACTCCTGACTCATTAGCGATGGCCTTGGCCAGGAGAGTTTTCCCACACCCTGGGGGCCCCGCCAGCAGCACCCCTGGGGGGTTCACCAGCCCCAGGGACTCAAACTTCTCCCTGTGCTTCACTGGTGCCTGGAACACAAACAACACAGAGGTATTATACACCATACTGGTTCCTGGGATATTTCTAATCGAACAAATTGTCCAACAGGTATCATGAAAGAGTGAATGTATCATTGTAGCTATATAGGTCCTGTATAACGGAATAAAAACATATTGTTTTGATACAAAAATAATGTATCCTTTCAATGTGATGTCACTCCAGATATGAAGCAATGAAAAATACCTTGTTTAGATGTGGATTTCAATGCAATATATCATCTTCAACTCTGTTATCTGTATCATATCATACTATCCTTTACACCATTAATGTATATAGAACAGACCAGTATGGCCATGGTCAGTTCCTCTCTGATGTCCTGCAGGGCACCAACATCATCCCAAGTCACATCAGGGATGGTAGCAAACCCTTCTCGCTTGGCAGATGGCTGCATTGTGGAAAGTGCTACCTGTACAAAACAACACACTTCTCAATGGAAAATACATGCATCACTGTGCTGCAAACTACAAATTTAGATATACATATATAGTCCAAAACCTTGTCCCAGTCTGGGCAGGACAATAGACAAATGTAACAACAGCACTGGCTACACTTTTTTCCATTTTCTGCAATTCTGATTGATGTTTCTGACCTGGAAGTCTTCCATCTGGATACTGAGATCCTGTAGCTGCTCCTGTGTGAGTGGGGGCTGATCCTTCAACCAACTCAGCACTGTACAAGTCACATGGAGGGAGGAGAAAGGAATTAAGCTTTGACAACATGGTAAAGCAATGTCATTAATAAATTGGAGGCAGACCTTTTGCTAGTTTTTTTCCAACATTGCAAATGTAAAAAGAAGATATTGGCAACTACATTGTATCAAAAATCAATCAAAATACGAGCAGCTTTACATATCATACATACAGCTTGAACAACAGAATCCTGTCCATTACCTGATGTTATATCTGCTGTCTGTACAGGGGCTTCCACAGATGAAGTACCTGCATCAGGTGGCACAGCAACCTCTCCACCTGTAACAGTCACCTCAATGTTCTTTCTTTTTGCTTCTTCTTCTTCACGCTCTGTAAGGATTCTGGGACAAAGTATAATCAGTTACAATAGGCAACACCACTGCAACTGTTGCTTTGATTCTGGATGAAAAACTTACCATCATTCTTCCAATATCACACCTACAGGCAACATACCATAAATTGTTTAGAATTCAAAATGAACTTGCTGCCTAAAGGATATAAAACATTGCCTCACCTGAGTGTTTCTTAAAAACAGTAACATTGCTAATGCAGCTGACTACTGGAAATAACACACATAACCCAGCAGTGTTTTGTGTGATTCATGATCAGGTATACTGGACCACAAAATGTCGAGCCTCACTGTAGTACAGCCCTATCTTAGTGAAAAATAGCAGTACAATTAACACAGACCTGTTGATAGCTGTCATGGCTGCCTCCCTGCACAGGGCGCTCAGGTCGGCCCCCACATAGCCAGGTGTCAGGTGTGCCAGCTGTCGGTAGCTGAAGCCTTCAGACAGCCGCAGTTTCTGGCACAGAACCTGCAGAATCCTGACATAGGGAGGAGCATTACACTTACAGATACATCTTTTTCATAAAATGCTTCTCTAGTAGAACAGACAACATTTGGCATGTAAGGACTTTTCTAAATCAGAGATATTTGCTACTGACATGATAGCACATGTCAAGATATAAAAATATGGTGTAAAACCAGTGTAGTCTTACCCCTCCCGTGCCCTTTCATCAGGAATGCCCATGGAGATTTCCCTGTCAAACCTGCCTGCCCTCCTCAGGGCTGGGTCCAGGAAATCTGGCCTGTTGGTGGCTCCAATCACCAGCACATGGGCACTGATGTTAGCACTCAGATCTGTGAATCAACATATCCTGTTAATACTATATATTATAGTGTGTTTGAACTAAGATGTACAACAGGTACTTAAGTTTTACCACCCAGTTACAATACATTATTTCAGGTAATATCAGGGGATAAATAAACCACAGGTGTAGAGACTGACCATCCATACAGGTGAGAAGTTGAGCCACAATTCTGCGTTCCATCTCCCTCTGGGCTGTCTCCCTCTTAGGTGTGATGGCATCTATCTCATCTATGAACAGGATACAGGGGGCACTGGCCTACAGAGGACAGAGTAACAATTATAGGTTACCTGATGGTAAAACTGGTGAGAAGTTATACTTCAACAACATTCACGAAAGATGCTGCTGCTAAGTACTGACATGAACAAGTCATGTAGAAGTCCCTTACCACTGCTTTCTCAAACAAGTCCCTGACTTTCTCTTCAGACTCTCCAGACACTCCAGATACAATCTCTGTGGCAGCAATCTTCAGCAGGGGTAACTCCAGCTCCTGGTATGGGGACAAAATTTGCTTGTAAACTGTTCATGTAGTGACAAGGATAAAACGAAGGAAAAAGCATTATGACTTTAACGTTATATCACACATTCAAAATCATGCTTTAAATTGAACGTGTGGCTAGAATTAAACCCAAATGGAAGCCCTCTGTAATTAAATCATAATGATTACTTCATTTGATATAAGGAATAAATCTCTATATTAAAGTAGATGTCTGGCTTTTTTTCAGCATATCTACTTCATTTTTAAACTAGTTGTCATGGACAAACTTGACATTTTGCACCTACCCCTGCTATTGCATTAGCCAGCAGAGTCTTGCCACAGCCTGGTGGTCCGTGTAGCAGGAACCCCCGAGGCGGGGTGACTCCTAACGTCTGGTACACCTCAGGGTGGCGCAGGTGAACCAGCAGTTTACACACCTCCTGCAGTACAACAATAAGGGAGGGTGCCACATGCAGTATTTTTATTGTGTAACCACATCATTCAAGGTGGCCATATTCTGGCAGATGTAATATCAATGTGTTAATGGATGTGGAATGAAAAACAAGATTTTAACCTAAGATACATGGAACTTTCTGTGTGCATAGCCTGGGTGCCATCCTATCTGTTTCCTGGGGCTCCCATAATCACTCCCTAAAATATGAGTATAAGAGTCCTGGTATAGAAATAGGATGGCACCCAGGATATTGCCAGCAGTCTATGGCAACAGATTTACTCTTGTACACTGGGAGTTCTAAAGGATAAATAAATCTTAAACATAGGAGTCAATACATTGAAGGGATATAAACCCACCTGTAAACAAGACTCAATACCACCTACATCTGCAAACTTGACTGTAGACTTCTGTAGAGCTGGACCTGCACATATCATAGCAACATTAGGTTAGCCATTGTCTGACATATATCTAGCAGAATGACAAGCTGTGAAGCATATACTTTCCATATTAACCCATCATTTATTGCAAAAAACTACCTATTTTGCCATCTAATCATTCAATTAAGTAACACTTGCGGAAATAGGACAACCACCTTTTGTGCTGTTTCCTTTCCTTTTCTTTCCAACTCCATCAGTTTCTTCTTCTGTTTTTCTCTTCAGCTTCTTCTGTGAAGTTGCCTCATCTTGAATAGTTTTGTCTGCCTTCTTCTCCTCATATGTCCATCTTGTAGATTCTTTTTTCCTGTCTCCATTATCTTTAGGAACATCCTTGCTGGTATCTCTGGTCTGCTTATCATCCATGTCTTTTGCAGTGGATTTACCAGGTTTATCACTTGCTTGTACACTTGAACTGGGAGTTCTGTCTACAAACCAGGTCTGGGAATTCGAAGGGGTGGAGTCTTGTGAGGCTGTGGAAGGGTTTACTGAGGTACCAGCAGGGTTACTATTTATGGAGGCACCACCAGGGGTATTACTAGATCTTTTGTTGTACAAGTCCAGCATGGAAGTGTTCATCATGTTGGTGTCCTGTTGAGGAATCAGATTAAATGTAAGAAACTAATTTAGAAGAAAGCAAGTTTTACATTGAGTATATAATTCAAGCTCAATTCACTCGTATCTACAACACTTTAATCCATGGTTTCACTCTCAGTATGCAGAGTGCTTGAGAATCTGTCCATGTTCAAACCAGTAAACCATACATTGCTCTTACTTGGTAACTTTCGTAATCTTCATTGTCCGCAGAGAAGCTTCCACTGCTGCTGTCTTCTGACTCATCACCGTCTGATGAAACATCATCACTGTGAAGAACAGTCATATAATCATACAATCCTTTTTACATGTTCACAGTTTTTTTATTACACGCATACAAGATTTTCTGGTGACATTTTTTCATAAATCATAAAACTACTTAGCAATGATATTGAAAGCACCAAGCATCATTTTAGGACAGAATAGGTAGGGCTATATTGGAGAACAATGTAACATTAATGGCAGCTTTCTCACATGTCCTCTGTCCTTTTCTCTGACAATGCCTCTGGGCCTTCCTGTCTCTGGCTTAGAGTCTGCTTCTGTTTGATCATGCTGTAGACTGGATGTCAACACACAAGTGATATTAGTATGTACATTGTAGCTAGGATATGGTAACTCTACCAACAAAAATATATTAATATCAAATCAGTGCATGCAACTTAACCATCATCTTTAAAAGAGCAGAGTAGAGAACCAAACTGAGGCTCACCTTTGTGCACAGATGCTCTGAAAACATTTTTCTTCCTTCTGCCATATTCACTGTGAGGTGGGAAGAGCAATTTAACAAAGTTTCAATACTACAATGTACTAACACATAAAGATGGGTACTTATTTTTTTCATATCATTAATCTTTGCTTAACAGTTACTGTTGCTCCTCAATCAGGGTTAGGGTTATTGGCAAAAAAATTCAATAGCCACGCTCTAAAAACCATATCTGCCTGACCTGTACTTGGCCTGGAGTTGTTCAGCCATGGTGGAAACATCCAGATGTTGTCCTCTGGGAAGACCTGCCAGATACTGAACAGGCACACACAGAACAGGCAACGTGACATGTAGTTTGCAGTGCAGTGTATAACACTGTGTAAAAGGTGACATGACAGAGAGATTCCACACACACAGGGCAACAGTGACAGCGCAGTAATGCTGTGGAAATATCTAGTGTATGCACAATATCAACGTTCTTTGTCCCATAATACCATGTGGGGTGGGGGGTGCATACAACATGTGACACGTTACGTTAGTCAAAACAAAAGAGGTTTACCTCGTGAACTCTCGCAACAAGTCGCTTGTCTGAGATATACCCTCCTCCATCAAATCCCCCTGTCAAGGACTTTTTCTTGCTCCTCATGGTGGGTACAAATGCCCGAAATACGATGCTTAAAGTTCACGAAGTCTAGTCCCAACTTTTCAACATGGGGGCAGCCATTTTGATTTGACGACTGATACAAGTAGCAGACGAAAACGCCACCTTGCAGCTCTTGATATTATTACACAACCACAACATCCGAAAGAAGGGAGACGTGAACAGAGCTTAGAACCCCGGCAGGTTCAAACTGCTTTTTAGACGAGCCAGGTTGCAATCAAAAGACAACAAGAAAGCTGACGTTGACAAAAAGATCGACAGAGTCCTGGGAAAAGTTCACATGCATAATGGTGGGTACTGAGCAACGTTTATTGAGCTGGATGATAAAGTGCCACGTCTTCGGACGATGGGCGAAACGCCCCCCTCCCACAGTGGCTTTTGCTGACTTTTGAAACGTTTCTATACCATAACGCAATGTATAAGATTTTATCTAGATAATAAGATTGAACTTTTATGTCACTTAAGTTATGTCACTTAGGTTATGTCACTTAAGTTTCCTATAAAGCTCATATATATTAAACGTTAATATTGTACCTTTTGGCAACAGCTCAGGGGCGGAGGCATTTGTGTATTAAAGCTTTGAAAAAATTTCAAGAATTGCACGAATACATTCCCTTGGAATTGGTTTTGAGGAAGCCTTCAGCCAGGTCAGGTTTGACGGGGCAGGAAAGGCCTCAGCCTCTGCACCTTTTCTACCAATCCTGTATAATTCACTACACGCATGTGTAATGAACATCTGTAAAGGAGATTTCTGGCTCCATCACATACAATGATAATCATTCAATCGTCACCATGGTTATGACTTTTATTGCCTTCCTTTTTAACATTGTTACATTAACGTTACATATTTATTTTGTTAAAAATGTTATAAGGTTAAACTTTCTCACTTCTCATCTGCCCAGGATTTCTCCAAGTTTTCTGATGACAACTTTGATGTTAAAGACTGGGTGAATGCTGCATTCAGAGCACAGCGAGACTCTCCAGGAAACAAGGATGTAGGGCACATTTCATCAGAGAAAAATTTTTGTCCTTTTTTCTCGTAAGATGCTCAAAAGCCACAATACATTTGTGCTTTCTTAGCTTGTACACATGTATGAAGTATTAGGAATATTCTGTACAAATATTGATGACAAGTTCTGATTGCCCTCCAGACTCATGCTGCAACATTAGTGATGAAGCTTCAGCTTTTCATTCAGGTGAGTCATGCAAACTCTTATTGTTTGTATTATCTATACTCAGTAACTTCTATTTGCACCTGCAAAGTACATTTGTACCAATTATCATATCAGTCAAACATTTTGTAGAGACAAGTGATGTGTTAATTGTTTGTGATACAGGGTAAAGGTAAAATATCCATTTTGTGAAGATGTTTGCTAGTCTTCAACAGTGGACACGTGCAGTAATTTGTTGCCCTGACCACAGGAGGTGAATAACTCACTAGAGGAGATCAGTCAGCAGGCTCTCACCAACCTGCCCAGGTCAGTACACCAACATACATGTAACGTTACATATACTGGGAGTCTTACATGCTAAAAATGTCTGGACACTGAAAATACATGTATTTGGACATTAAGATTAAGTGTGAGCTTTGCTATTCCCTTTTTCCATTATATGAATGTATATAATATAATTAAGGCAACATTTTGGTGAAGGTTCAGTGTGTCTAGTCTGACACAAGGCGTCTTTCCAGGGTGATCAGGGAGACAGAAGCAGTGAGACAAGAGGCCATATTTCTCAAGGAGCAGATGATGATGGTCAAGGAGGATATAAGAAAGGTCAGTTCTATTTCATACATGATTTTGAAGTATTTAACTTTTTTTTAATAGATTATCAGCTAGCATATGTATAATTGTCTTTTGGCAAAACACAGTAGTGTTGATAAAACCAAACATATGATTATAAATGAAGCAACAAATCCTAGCAGAATGATTGAGTGGTATCTTGATTTTCAGGTTGAGGAGAACACAGCTCATTCTATGAAGGTTCTAGTGGAACTGGATGCTATCAAGTCCAGGATACAGTCCATGTCAGTAGCACTCCAGGTAAATGGGTTTGATATAGAGCTTGTTTGTGATGTGCACAGGTAACTCTGGCTCATCATTGTAATTTGTCGCATTTAGGCTGATGAGGATTCAATTATATTTTTTTTATCTCTCCTACACTGTCAATAAAAGTGTACACTGAGGAGGTATTATGGCATGTTCTAATCATTTGTTGTCACCCGTCCTTACTCCCCAGGAAGCAGACAACTGGACCAAACTGTCTGCAGATGTGGAGGAGGTGTTCCAGTCTCAAGATGTACATGCTGTGGGTCATCCTTAGTTCATACAGATACAATATTTATATTGTGATTATTAAGAAGTACTACAAAATAAAATTTGCTTAGGCCACACCAATTTAATTTATTGGTTAACGGATTTTTCTACAAAAATAATGGAGCGGGCGGGCGAAAAAAATAAAAACAGGCCTAGGCATCGTATTATGGCCCAAAATGGTACGATAGGAGCCATGAAGTCAACACACTAGGCTGGTTCAAAATTTAAACAATGAATTTTGAACTTTTAATGATACCATTGCATTGAAAGATGGAATAACTGTAACAACTAGGATGAAAAGGACTGTTTTCAACTGTTCAGGGCAAAATATGAGCATTTTTCAGTTGATTCTGGATTTTTATTTTTATTTGCAAATTAGAAAAAATGAAGCGGCGAATCCGTTAACCAAGAAATTAAATTGGTGTGGCCTTATCTGTATATACAGCAAATGTCTCTTAAGGGAAGAGTCTACTTTGAATAGAATCTTGAAGATTCTAAACAACTATTCTATTCTAGATATTGCAATTTTTTATAAGTAATTTTATTACCTGAAAGTAATATTATTACCTGCTTGTCTTTTCAGATATCATCTCAACTTGTCAAGATGCAGAAAAGCTTGGTAAGATTATCTAGACTTTTGGTTCTTAGATAGAACTGAAATGTAACAATTATAATTCTTTAAGTTGTCCCAGTTGATCAGTTGCCCCAGCATATTTCTGGAGACTTTCATGCTTTTGATTCAGAGAAAATGAGTTGTTGAGACTATGCTAATTTTCTTTTGTAGAAAATGCTGTCAGACACAGCTGACTATGAAGATCGCTGCGCCCATCTGGAGGGTCTGAAGAACAGACTGGAGGCTGTGGTCAGTCCACAACTGGTCGCTGCCTTCAACTCTCACAACCTGGGTAGGAACAGTTGGAGTACAATGTTTCATTCTTCATTTTACAGCCTGAGTTGCAGCAGAATGGCTTTCATTTGTATTCAACACCAATATCTACTATGCATCTTTTTGAAACTATTTTGTAGAAGCAGATACTAGTAAATAGGATGTTGTCCCGAATAAGCTAACAATCTGTTTTTGTCTTCAACAGAGTCTGCCCAGATGTATGTGAGGATATTTTCTGACATTGAAAGGCTGCCAAACCTGCAGAGCTACTACTTCAAATGTCACAAGGCAAGAGCACCTATTGTTTTCCATGTCTTTCTATACAACATAATGCCAGTTAGCTTTACCAGGTACTTTTTCCTTTTGTATCCTTGTAATTTGCAGAATACACCCTTTAGATTTACAGTAAGGATTTCATATATTTTTTCCAGGCAACTCTGCTCCAGTCCTGGCAGGATATAGTGAACATTGATCCTAACCAGAGTCTACAGGACACCCTGCCTAAACTGTACGACCAACTCCTATCCACATGGCAAACTGAGGTTAGTTCTGCCTTAAACAAGAAACAATTTTTGAACCTTTGAGTCACCAGTATCCTTTTTACTTCAAGTAAATTATCTCACTGTGGTATGTAGTTTCAGATCAAAAACACTCGTTGGGGCAAATTAGGTATTAGATTTGTGAGGTAATGGGATTTGCAAGACTTGGCACCAAACATTTTTAGAGTTTTAAAGAGTCATCCATCAATCAGAATGTTCAATGGTTGATATCCCATGCAGGTGCAATGGTGTAACCAGGTGTTCAGTGAAGCTGTGAATGTGACAGCGACTCTAGTGATCCAGGTGCTGTACTCCCTGGAGCCGTCCATCCCGTACTGTATCCAGGCTGCCCTGGAGGACACACCCAGTCAGCTCAACACACTCATCAGTCTACGGCAGGTCAGGATCAGAACTGCTGTCACTTTGTTTATAGATTACATGCCATCGGTCATATCTTGTCCTTTAAAGGCTGCTTATAGGCAGGTTAATGTCTGTAGATGCATTAAAAGATATGATATGTTGTTTTGTAATCTTTGCAGATCACAATGAGGTTTGCTAAAAGCATTGAAGCATCACTGGAGAAGACATCAGGTAACACACCAGCTCTAACTATAAAAAAAGAATTTCTTCATTGCAACAGTAAAGTTTATATAACTTCTAAGATGATTATGGAATTACAAATGTATAAAGACTTTGTGTTTGAAAACCAGGTACACTGTACAGGGGAAACCAAACTGTCATGCCAGTCTTATTTGGCATAAGAGGTTCACTTGGCTGTACAATTGAACTTAACTGCCTCATGAATCCTTCCTTTCAGTCTAATTCCAAGGCAACATGCATGCCTAGGAAACACTGTTGTTTGTATCTCATTGTCATGTTGTACCAGGCACCTACAATGAAGATGTGATCACCCAGCTGGTGAGGACCATCCACAGTCCGTACCTGCCGTACCTGCTGCAGTACAGTACTCTACAGGAACAGCACCTTAAGGACCAGCTCAGGACAGTCCATCTGGTCTGTACAACAGGAGAACAACTTTAGCTTCAAAATGAGAACACGCTGTTTACTCCTGAGCACAAGCCCTGGCAATCTTGGCATTTTGTACTGAATTTGTCAGAGGCTTTCATTTGTTTGTATTTATCTCAGTTATATATACCAAACTTAACTTGAGGTGTCTTAAGAATGTAAATTATTATTTGATATACATGTACAACACAAACCTGCCCTACTACTGTTTTTTTTTTCAATTTGTTTCTAACTCTTGTTCCCCTGTTACAGGAGACAGAACAGCAGGAGGTGATAGACTGTGTGCGACTGATGGGCCAGTCTGTCAGTAAACTCTACAGTATTGCAAACTCAGTAAGTCCTCGTCTTCTCAGATATTTTAGACTTTTCTGTCATATAGCTTTTTTTTGCTCCACAGCACCAAGTGAATATCTTGTGCAAAGTCTAGTGCAGCATTTATGATGCCTTTCTTTAAACATACCCATGTTTCCTTGGTCCCCCTCAGGCTGTGGAACAGTGTATGTCCTTCACTGCAGGCTGTGGAGTGTGTGGACTGCAGAAGGCTCTGACTGTGAGTACTAAAACTTGGTGTTTGACAAAGGATGAATTTCCTCATGTTGCTTAACATCAACTTAACATGTAACGTTACATGTAGCTGTCTCATTTGCATTTTTATTTCTTGTTAGAACCTTCCAATACTGTTGTTGGATTTTAGATGTTTGCTGGCTGTGGTAATAAGATTGTAACATTTTTATACCACAAAAACAGTGATGATAACATTTCCAGTCTTTTTCCTGTAAATGTAATTATTGTATTAACTAACATGCATGTTCTACATCAACAGGCATATTTTACTGTATACACCTCTGAGTTCATCCGGGTACTGCAGGCCTTACGAGTGAAGTGCAATATTGATGAGGTTAAAGTGTCTTCAGGAGAGATAAAAGAGGACTGGACTCTCTTCCAACATGCACTCAGGATCCTGCAAACCTGTGGTCAGTAATGTTTGATAAACTGAGATGACTGTTTGGAACATCTCTTTTTCATACAAAGCGCAAATGTGTTTGAAAAAAAAAAGACTGTAAGCCTGTATTGCTCTTGCACATGTCTGACATTGTGGTGCTGTGATGTTCAGGTGACCTGCTCCTCCATCAGAGAGACTTCCAGGACCAGCTGTGTGTGGCTGTGCTGGAGCACACTGATACCCTGCAGGACTGCAGGTATCACACATGCTCTCTGTAATGTGTCATAGCAAAAAACTTCATGAGCAAATAGCATACATACATTAATGACATCTGAAATTCCATGCTAACTTACATTGTTTAGGATACATACATTGTACACTTCAATGCTTAAAAGCATCTATCAGGAAATCAGATGATTATATGACTGGTTGGATCCATCTGTTCAGTCTGTTTGTCAGGCATGGTCAACAGTAATACCAGTAAATTGCCATAATTGTCTTGTCCATATACACAGTACACAGGAGAAGTCCAGTCCTTTTCAGCACTACAACTACCTGAGTGTGGAGAGCCCAACAGAGTATGATCTACTGATGGGAACTGTCACAGGACTGAAGGAAGGTAGGGCCGGCAAGCTAGGGAAATTTAATCAAACCTGACAGGCTAGGCCTGGGTTTGTAGTAATGCTATACAAATGAACATGGTTGAAAACATGATCATTCTTATTTTTATATGTACACATGTGAAAGGATTATTTTAAGTACCAGTATTGTTACATCTAATAACAAGCGATCGTCTCAAGAAATTGATTGAATTTTTTTTTTAACAATGTCATGTGAAGTTTACTAATAGTGTTTCCCTTGTGTCTGTCCAGGGCTGGTGGAAGATCTGCTGTGTGATGTAACAGAGGCTGTACAGAAGCTGAATGAGCATGCTCACAAGTTTGCCTTCGACATTGTGTTCTCCCAGCTCCAGCAGCAGCTAGCTAATGTACATTCCATGGAGGTCAGTACATGTAACTATGTGTTCATGATTCATAGTAACCACAGACCATGTATTGTGGGTGGGGAAAAGATGATCTGTTATGACTAATATACATGACGTGGTGTACATGTATATTGACATTTGTTTGTGATGGCAGCATTTGTTTATCACCCAGGTAAATATATTGACAAGCTGTTGACATCATCCCCCAATTACTGATTGCTTTATTAGTATAAATTTGACTTACAGCTACATGATTGTATATAATATAATATACATTTTTTTTACAATGGCTGTTGTACTTTAGATTTGGGGTTCGGATGCTGCAGGAGGGGAGGTCTTACCTAGTTTCAGTCTGTCTCCAATGGAGTACATCACCAAGGTAACGTCTCAATGACTCACCTTTAATTATTCAGGGTAGCTGGTCAAGAAATGACAAGCCACTTGAAATTAAAAGAAACTCCTGTGAACGGTTAATTACAAGTATCCTTCAGAACAAATTCTCTCCCTAACAGTGAATGATAGGTAGAAGGCAAGACTGCATTTGTCTGTTGATATATATTTGATAAGGTATGTGTAGTCAGGGTTGATAAAAAAATTCTTTATATTTACAACAGGCAATGATACTTATTTACTAAAAGTATGTAGTAACAGATGTGTGAGTTTAATGTTAACACAGTGTGTGGTTGGACTACTGTTACTTGTACAGATAGGACAGTACCTGATGACCCTCCCCCAACAACTGGAGCCATTTCACCACCAGGACAACCCTGCCCTGGAGGCTGCACTGCATGCTGGGAAACTGCCATTCCAGGACAAGAATGGTGAGACTTTCACATCTGATTTTTGGAACATTAAATTTTGATAAACAGGAAATTCCTTAACATGTAGCTCTTCAGCCATGCTGTCAGTATTTTAATGAATGTTGGATTGCAGAGACCCATGAGGTGGACCATGTTGCTGACTTCTGGCTGGGGTCCATAGCGAGGGGAACCATGCTCACATACTTGGAGGCCATTTTAAAGATCCCCAAAATGACTGACTATGGTCGTAAGCAGCTGGCTGCAGACATTGGTGAGTATTCAAACATGTTAATATTGACTGTGTCAGTGTTGTTACAAGCACTGCTTCCTCCCACAGGGTTTTGTCTGCTGAGATGATTGAAATACAGTGCATCATCAGGGTTTCCCACAAGCACTGCTACAGCTGGAATAACATGTTTATTACATGCTCAACAGGACAAATAGGAAGTTCAATGTAGAAGTTACATATCTGTATCATTTTGTAATGTTTGATGTTTAAGGTGGGTTGAAGTGAACCTACAGAAATGACATGCTGTCTACTTGCACCTCCACAGACTATGTCTGCAATGTTCTGGATGCCCTGGGAGTCCCAGCCAACAAGGATCTGAAGGGTGTGGCAGCATTGCTACAAGCTTCACCCACAGAGTATGTGTTTCTCCTTTGGTTGTATCAGCATCCATTATTATGATACAAAATCAAATTGTCCTAGCATTGTCACGAGTCCTTGGGTACATGTTTTCATTCACTAACTACCTCAGACAATATATCCTATTATGACTCTGAAGCAACCTGGTAAAAAGCCTGACCCACCACCTATATGTTGCAGAGTTTGCTTGTTGCTATTTAGAAAATTAATCAGCTTAGAAATGAGCTGCAATTATGGTTGATAATAATTCTGTTATATATATCTTGTTGCAGGTTTGATGAGGTGTCCAAGGATTGCCCACCAAAAGTCGTCAACATTGTTAGAGGCATGAGAATGATATAATGCTGCCCCTTTTGTTGTTTGTCCTTAATGAGGAATGTGCAACATGGACGCAAAACCAACATTCCCTGTTAGACTGTCCCTATTAGACTGACATATTTATGTAAAAAGTGTTTTCTTGGTATACCATATGTATTGGGGACTTTGGTTAGGAGAGACATGCCATCATTATATTGTGGCACCATCTTCAGTTCATATACAGGGTGTCGGCAGATACATAAGTTGTATATGATGTACATTTCAATTATATTATAATTAAAAGATGTACATATACCATAATGTTACGTAATGATTGAGTGTTGTCTTTTAGAATAGTCATACCATCTGTTTATATCAGGAAATTCTTGGGATATTCATCTGGTAAAAACATATCCAAAGTCTGAGTTGAAGAAGTAGAGAACAATTATTTCCTTCATTAAGTCCTTTCAAAATACTTTATTTTACAATTCAGCAAACAATTATTTTAACCTCCTAATATACAGATGTGTACACTATATACACCTATATATGAACTTCCATTTCTAAGGCATAATGTGGACAATAAGTGCTACAAAGTCTCCTTCAAACATAGATCACAAATTTTGCCCAATTTTAGATTGTCCCAATATTTTCTGTGCAACCGCATTAAGTAGACTTTTCCACATTTGGGATGACATATGAATATGTCCTGCCTAAAGTTAGCTTATCAGAGGCTAAAGGAACTCAGATGTGAGCTTCAGCATGCATGTTTGTTCTTATGGCATCAAATAGTACAGAGGATGGTCTCCTCAGCACTACATGCCATCTATGGCATGTTTTATTGTAGTGTTACATGGGTCAAAGTTTACAAGAACGTTTCTGTTGTCCTTTTAGTGAGACATGAAGTCTTGGCACTCTCATTCAGCAATAAATTGTTTTTGAAAACATTCTGCAAAAGCAAACGAAATATGTTTAGGCAATTTGTCTAACTTAGTTATAATTAAAATATCCAATAACTGGCAAAAGTGTTTGCAGTCCACACTATTTGGCATGTCTTTCCTGTTATCAATTCATCTGTTTGCATTCAGCAAGAGCCTGATCAAACAGGCTCTTCATAGAGATACATGTATTGCACAAAACTGTGCTTCAACTTCTAAGCTTATCTTCATAATGAAAATGACCACATTAAAAGACTGAACAACAACTATAACAACACCTGTGCTTAAAGATGACGAGCAACTCTCTGAAATCTATCCCCACAATAGGTTATAATGGCAATCTAACAGCCCCTCATGCTGAAGGTAACATGCCCTGTTGTACTTGTCAACAACTGAGTGTTTGTGTTTGGTCCAATTCAAGGTGATAATACTGGTACAACCAGAAAATATGAAAGGCATAAAGGTATTCTTTTCCAATTATTGTCAAGTAATAAGATACAATGTCACATAGTAGAAACTCAAACTCTGAAATAATCTTGTGTCCATTGGTCTACCAAAGGTGATAACTCCTTTTCCCCAGAAATATACAGAGTGAATTCTTTTTTCATAGTGCATTCAATTAATATTCTGAAGTGTTTGATATTGAACTAGACATTCAAAGTGAAAGAATAATCCTCTGGCCATACCAGAAATAAAGACTAACATGACAATGGATGTGTCATTTTTCTAAGACCTGCACATTTGCAGTGCCACCATGGTGCTCAAAGAACCAACGTATGAAGTATACAATCATAAGGATAGATCAAAGTTCTAATATCTCATGATGTGTTAAAACTGTTTTCCCTTCTAGAACTATCAACCCTGTCATGAAAGGCCTGTTTACTCCACTCTCTTGCTCCTCTCAAAATGGGACACTAGTATATGTACAGGCACAATTAGTGCAACATACATAGACTGCAGATGAACAAGGGTGTTGGCAGATGTAACAAGTGAGCAAGGTTTGCAAATTCTATTCTACTTAACAGATTCTGAATCACACATACTGATTGCAGTATGATGCAACAGACTTGCTGTCAGCAAGAGTCATTACAGAGCAAAGTTGGTCACTGTGGTGTAAATAAATATATTATTAATTCAAATTTACAACCAAGTAGACTTTTCAGTGCTCATCAACTTAAAGATACATTGTACTAACAAAATCCAAAAGATAGCTCTTCACATATAAATTTCAATTATCAGGTACCTAAAGAATCAAGTCGAACACTGAGATAGGGATTGAATCTAAAGCTACATTTTAATGTAGCTCTTAAAAGATAACTGACAATTCCATTATCAGAACAACTTGAACCAAACTGATGAGATGTCTCTTACTTCACACCAGTAATAGTTCATACCCAATGACAATGTAGAGGAGAAACTTTCTCAGAAGCAGGAGCATTCATTGCTGTAGAATTTCCCTGAGAACATTGTCACTGTTCTTGGAGGTGGTACCCTGTACAGTGTTTATTGCAGTGCTTGGCTCAGGCACCAGCAGAGGGGCAGAAGTCAACATTGGGACAGGCACTGTCTTCATCAGGGGATGGGCATCCCCGGGGCCTGCTGGTGCAGCAGGTGCAGCTGAGGACCGTAATGGTGCAGTGAACGGATTGAACGCCAGTCCTTCATTCCCCACTTTCCTCCTCTGCTGCTGTTCTCGTGCCATCTCCTCAGCAGGCAGTCTGGGCTGGAGCGTCGGGGTGGACTCAGTCTCCAGAAACTTCACAAACATCTGAGTAAAGGACTGCAAAATGGCATGGTGTCATTGTGGCAATCTGAACAGCTTGAAACAAGTGTCTTAAGGTACCTAATGATGTCCTTGACAACAACACAATTCTTCATGAATTGGTACTGAACATTGTGATAGAAGAAGGCCAGATACTTACAGAGTCCAACTGAGAGGTGCCAGCCCTGACTGCTGATGGAGATGCTGGAGGATGCTGGGTAGGAGAGGTGTCCTCCTTCACTCCCCCACCATCCTGTCAGCCATCCTTTCCTGGGCACTGCTCCCACCTGCCACATGTTACACAGACGGACTTGTCTTTAATTCTATACTGAATAGTTATGGATGTTCACTGTAGACATAAAATGTACATGTACAATCGTCACAACAGAAAAGATGCTTTTGATGCTTTGTACCACTGAGGACAGAACATATACTCTAGTAAAGCAAAGTTTCATCAATATGTAAGCATTCCATTGTTGCATACAGTGCAAGCCTTAGGGTCATGTCTTTTGAAAAGATATACTCTGACTAAAATAGGAGAACAGTTACCTTCTCCATTTCCTCCATGTTGAAGGACAGGACACTTCCTATCAGCTTGAGGACATCTGCTTTCTTGTTGGGTGGTGCCATGAAGTACCCCATGAACAGGTTCTTCACTAGAAGCCTGGAAACATGAAGAGGTCAAAAGTCATCCCAATGGTTCAACAAACATATGGACACTTGAATCAAGTGTTGCTTCCAAAAGAACAACCACTGGCATGGGGAATGTCCTTCCTGAAATCTCCCACTACTCAAAGCACAGGGAAGTTTCAACTGCCCCATCTAAATTAACATGTTCATTCAACAGTCATTTTGGTGACATACATGTACCACCTGTATACATGTATGCTTCAACTAATTACTGAGTTCATCCATAAAGAATTTCAGTGCTTACTTTTCAACGCTTGCCTCATTGCTGGATGCCAGCTGATCTAACCTATGCTGGTACTCCTCTATCGTGTGGTCTCGCTCATCAACTGCAGAGACAGAGGAACATGGACATCCAGGTATAAACACCTTGTCCACTTGTCAATCAATAGGTTTACAGCATACATGTCAGATCATACAAGCAAAGGATTCAACAGACAACCAGGTAAAAGCATTGTTTTAGAAAGGGGTTGACTGGGGTTGCTTTGCTGCAAAATATTACTCAGACATCAAGACCTCCAATACAAAATAAAGGACTGTTACTATCAACATACTTTTTCAAATACTATAAAAAGTCAACATCTTTTCAAAAATTTCCCCCAAATAGCAGTTATGCATGTAACAATTGACATGCATGTACACATAATGCTCCATATCCCTTAGTTTGAGGCCAAAAGTTAAGAGAATCCAAAGAATTTTTACTTTTCTACATTTTCAAAACAAATCTTGGCTAAACCTTGATGGACTGTTGCAATTTGTAATTTATTACTTGTACTTCACCACAGCATGTTTTTGTCAAATGGCTTAGTATGTCCTGATTTGGCAGTACAAGACAGCACTGTGAGCCATGCATGAGGAACAGATTGATTTGATTCCCATCCAATCAGTTCCTGATGCAGTAGTCCCAGTGCCTCAATCATATGGACAGATATAGCATCAATGGCAATCTGGGCCTCTTGTGGATTGTTCTTGGCAGTACAAGTTAAGTTGTTCTACACATGGTAATGGTATGGGGTGCAGCCATTGCATAACTAACTATCTGTAACAATCCTATGCTTGGGCCTCAAGATACTCATAAACACACAATCATAAAATCAGTACCAACAACTTGACCTTGTCATTACCAGTTCCTTTTCTCATGATCAGGGACAAAAATGGACACTTATGTTTAGAACAGAAAACAATTCTATTTCACACCAATTACACAATAAAAAGATGGTAAAAGATTGTAAAATATGACCATATTATAAAGTTATACAGCAACAGGAAAAACCATGAATGAGGTCATCGAGACTCAAAGTGGAATTTACATATATCTACAACAACTATTACAACAACTATTACAGGCAACTAATTTGTCTACTCAATCATAATTATTTAGTATGTCAATAGCTAAACTATGATTCATGACTGTGTCAGATAACTATCTCATTGTTTAAATGTACAGCTGACATGAATGATTACCATGCAGGCTTGACCAGCTATTTTCCTGAAGAAAAGTCACCATGAGGCAACATGAGTTTTCCAGAGCACACCTATTGCATACATAATAATAGACTGACCTTTCTGGCATTTAGAAAATTAAGTAAAACGTGTAGTACTGCAGATGGAAGTCAACCACTTCTCAACAAGTCACAAAGCAAGAAACCTTAATTTCCTTAGACAGACAAAAGTCTCTGAAAAGAAAATGACCAGACATGCAGTTGTGCCAGTGTACCAGGTTCAGCTGAGTAAACACAAGAGAAGGACTGAAGCAGAGCTGAGAAGTTTGAGCGATCCCAGCTTGCACCGTGAGGATGTGAAGTTAGACTCACAGTTGCCAGCTGAGATTACACAACCATCCATACAGGGTCACACCCACACCATAGGAACCACTGACCATCAGCACCAACCACTGACCACCACGGCTGCCACCACAGATCTCCCACCACATAGTAGTTGTCAGATTAAAGCAAACAGGTCAAAAAGTACTTATCCCTTACTATTTACTGCTCATTGTAATTTCAACACAAGTTACACACATGTACATATATATTTACAGTTACCCTGCAAAACAGTTCCCCATTATTATGTATGAAAGAATCTTCAAAATGAATATATTATTGCTACTGTCAAAACTTACTGGTACTCATTTAACTGTTGATGCATTGGAGGAAAAATTACCTCTGTTATGTATGGAGTCTGTAGTTCTTTAAATGCTAACTGCACATTTGTCTTTGACTGGCAAAAATTCAACAGTGATACTAACTTGACTGTATCAAATTGAATTTCTTTATTTTATTTGCCTGTGCGCACTAGTCTGGGAGTCTTCAGAGGATGTCATCCATAAATTAAGTCAGTGTGGCCTAATGGATTTTAAATATTTTCTTTTACATTCATCAGAGTAGCACTGTGTGTATAGAAGAACCACTCACCTTCGTGCTGTAGAGCTGTGATCTGTTCTTCCTTCCTGTCCATCTGTTCTGTCAATCGAGCTGCACCCTCCAAGGCCTCCTTTGCTTCATCCAGTTCCTTCTGCGAAAGGAGTGAAAGACAAAATATTGCAGGCATCTCACTACTTTAATGGTATGAGGTAAAATGTAGAAGATGGGGGAAGCTCATATAGAGACACATGTACATGTATGTGTAATTTTTTATGTTGAAGGCATATCTAACAAGTAATTGTAGGAATGCTTTTCTCATGTTGCCTACCTGCAAGCTTGCACTCCTGCTGACCAACTGTTCCAGCTGTCCTCTGGCCAGCTCAGCATCTTTCCTGTACTTCTCTAACTCAGATGCATACATGGCCTTCTCTTCTGCAGGTGAAAATAGAATAAAACAGTTAATTCACGACTTGATTATAATATAGGCAGATATCTATGACAGGAGCATCTGATGTTCTATGAAGACATGGCAAAATTTACAGAAGTTTAAACACTAAATGTTAATAAAAGTATATAATCATACACTTAATGACGCCAAAAAAGAACAACTGATTATTTGGTTTCTATTGCCTCATTAAGTGACTGTATGTATGCTCGCTAATAAGTAAGGTTATTAACATCTGTCCTGAAGTATGCCTCACCTTGCTGGAACCTCTCCATGACGACCTGCAGGTTACTGAGGGACAGCGCGTACTGCTGGATCTGTTCCTGTGCCTGGGACAGCTGCAGGTTGGCTGTGTCTCGCTGGGCTGTCAGCGCACGGATCTGTCCCAGCAGGTCCTCCACCTGGGCACTGGCCTGCAGGCTGCACACAGGAAGTTTCATGTTAAGAGTAATACAAAGTAACTGTTATGAGGAGGAGACTACAATGTAAATATCAAAGGGTACTTTTGCCTGCATCTTTGTCACCATAAATGATTGCATGTGTGTGTGTCATTGCATGTTGCCCAAAACAAGAGCATTACTACCTTTAAATCAATTACTAGTATTTACTAAAAAAAAATTGTTACAACCTGTCACACTTTGATAAGATCAAAAATCCACAGTTGATAGAAATGTTTACTTTGCACTTTCTGCAGCACTGGAAGATGAAAAGACTTTCTCCTCAGCAATAGCCAGTCTGTTTCTCAGGTCCTTCTCTCTCTCCTCGGCAAGTAGAGCCTCTTGTGTGTACCCATCTTCTACCTGTACAAGTAGAGAGGATAGTCAACTTCTGTTCATTCATCATGATTTCTGAGCTGAAGCTAGCCATTTAGTTCCTTGTCAAGAGTTGCATGCAGTGTGTAAAACGACCTGACTAATATCTTAGCATAGACTCAGCTGCCATACTGACACATATACTGGCAAACATGTAGGACAACAACTGCATTCTTGTAGTTCTCTTCCAGCCACATTTCTACCATTGAGATTAGTGTTTTGTGAAAGGATGCATGTTAACAAGCATACACAGGACAGGTTGCCCACCTGCAGCAGGTGTTCCCTGAGTCTCCCCACTTCACCCTCCAGTCGCCTCTTGGTCTCCAACAATGAACTGATCTGTTGTGATGGGACAGTTAACACATCATTGTGATTACAAATGCATAGAAACCAAAGAATTTAAATACCTGTTGACCTGCAATTACTCAAGAGACTCTGTTTTAATACAGGATAACTGACTGTTGTTTGACTTATACATGTAATTGTTCAGTTTGATACCCCATGGGTTGGCAACTTGGTGCATGTCAAAATACAAACATAGGAATTAGTAATGGCAGAATAAATACACTAAATGGTAGTACCACCTGTTACTCACCTGTTTTTGCTTGTCTTCAGCCTCAGTCATGAGAGTCTGTGCATGTGAGGCCCCCTGAGCATGTTCCTTCACCAACCTCTCCAGAACTCCCACCCTCTCACTCAGCCCTGTATTCTCCAGCTCCTTCTCCTGCAGTAATGCAGTCAGCTTCTTGTTGACCTCCAGCCGCGTCTGTGCCTCTGTGTCCTTGTCGTTAGTCCCTGTGTACGTTCCTGTCACTCTCCTCCTGCAGTGTTCTGAGTTCCACCTGCAGAGACTGCACCTGGGAGGTCAGACTACGCACCTGTCCCTGCAGGTAGGTGACCTCTCCTTCCCTCGTCGCAAGAGTTGCTGCAACAGTCTTAACTTCTTCTGTTAAGGCCTGGATTCGTAAGTCTTTTTCCTCGATAGATTTTGCCTGGGATTCAATGCTCTCATTTAAGTCTTGGAGATTATCATTTACGAGGGAGTTTGTCTGTTTTCTATCTTCAAAGAGTCTGTCTTTGGCTTTGGTAATGTCTTGCAGCATCTGTCTCATTTTCAGAGCCTCTTCCTGCAAAGTGTTCACAGCCTTTTGTTTCTCTTCCAGCTGCAGAACCAAGTTGTTATAGTCTACCTGCAGGTTAGTGTTGCTATAGCTGTCATTGACAAGCTCTGTTTGAACAGTTCTGACCACTTCCTGGAGTTGCACATTGTCCTGGTACTGAGTGTTGATGGCAGTAGCCAACTGCTGCCTTTCAGACAACAAGGCCTGGACCTGTACATGCAGCATGTCCCTCTCTTGTACAGCCTGGTGATACTGGGCTGTAGAGGCTCCCCCTTGCTGTTCCCCACTGTCTTGCAACACTTGAAGCAATGTGTCTGACTTCTGCTTTAGTGCTTCAATTTCCATGTCTTTATCATTGATAATTCTGGACAGATTCTGAATTGCCTCCTTACTCATGTCCTTGTTTGGTCCCTCTAGTTGTTCAGACAGCTTTTATTCTGCTCATTGAGTTGTGCTATAGAAGCTCTATCTGCAGTGACTTCATCTACCAATCTGTGAATCTCTCCCTTCAAACTGCTGCATTCTCGCATCTTCTCATTGAGTACTCCCAATATCTGCTCTTTCTCTGTGACCAAAGCCTGCATCTTATCCTGCATATTGTCTTCACCTATAAGCCTATCATTTGCAACCAACTTTGTTTTCTGTTCCACCAGTGAGGTAAGGGAAATATTTTCTTTTCTGAGTTTCTGAATTTCCACTTCAACCCTCTCTAAAGATTGCAAATGTTTTGCACACTCTTCACATGGCCTTAACTTTTCTGAAGACTGCTCTATGGACACCTTTTCCTCCTCTGTCTGGACCTCTACATCTAAATGACAAACATGGTTACTTTCCACCTCTTCCACTTTCTCTTTCAATCCTGTATAGATGTCTGACACCTCATTGTCTTGATGTTTTTCAACATTTTCAAACTCCTCTAAGGTTGCCTTTTGCATGGCAATTGTTTCCTCTAGCTGTCTGATGGTCACATCTTTTTCTGTGATGATATCACTTAATTCCCCAATATCAGCTTCCTGCTCTGACAACCTTTGGTTTAATTCTGTGATCTCAGATTCCAACTCAGTAATGATGTCAAGGGTACTTCCTGTACTTTGTGAGGCACTTTTTTGCTTCAGCTCATCCTGTAAACTTAGGTTTTCATTTCTTAATCTAGTGATCTGTCCTTCAAGTCCCTCTAAATGTTCAATTACTGTATCCTTTTCTTTTACAACTTTTTCCAACTGTTCCTGTTCCATTTTGAGTGAGGTGTTTAAATCCCTAAGGCTGCTAATGTCAGCATCCTTGCCTTTCAACATGTCAGCAAGTTGTTCCTGCCCATCAACAGTGGACTGCAGCATTTCTTTGGTGTCCTCATAATCTCCTGTAACTGCTCACATTTTGCTGTCAGCTCTGTGATGGTGAATTCTCTCTCCTGACAGAGTTTGACCAGTTTTTCATGCTCCTGTTCCAGAGTGCCTGCATCGTTGTCCTTAGCCTTGGTAAGTTCCTGGATTGCCTTCTCATACTGCCTGCTCTGCTCTACCAGCTTCCTATCCCCCTGGTGTAGTTCAGTCAGGAGACTATCTTTTTCCTCCCGCAGTGCGTCAAGAAGAGTGTCCTTCTCCAACACACTTTTCCCGAGTGCATCTATCTTTCCTTGTAGCTCCTGTAGTTGTCTCCTAAGCTCATCTTCTCTCGATGGAGAACTTGATAAACTGTCATCTTCGTCCACTTGTGCTTGGAGCATTTCATCCTCCTTCCCCTGTTCTCCTGCCTGCCTTGCTTCTTCAAGACTTTCTTGTAACTTTTGAACTTCCTGCTCCAGCTGAGTTACTGTCTGCCTGTTGTCTGCCTCCATCTGACACCTCTCATCCCGTAATGCTGCCAGCTCCACCTCCATCTGTTCCAACTTATCGTTCAGTTCCCCAGCCTTATCCTCCAACTCTGCAGTCTCCTCCCTGTAGTCTCTATACTTCACTTGTACATCTTCTAACTCTTTCCTGACGTTTTCAAGCTCTTCTTTCTGAAGGCACATCTGCTGTTGTAACTCGTCTCTCTCATGATTTGCCTCTTCTTGTAGCTCTATGTTTCTATCGTTTTGGTCTTTCAATTCTGAAAGCTCAAGAGCCAAACTGTCCTTTTCCTCTTTGGTCTGTCGTAACTTTGTGTCAGATGCCTCCAGTTTTTCTGTCAGCTGATTCCTGATTTCAATGAGACGTGCTAAGGCCTCTTCATGTTGATGGTCAAGTGTTTCTAACTCCTGGGTAAGAACTTCCTTTTCCTCATTTACTTTATTAACTTCTTCATCCTTTGTCACAAGCTGAGTTTTCAGGTCTTCCAGCTCAATACTTAGGTTTTCCACATTGCCTGTAGTACAGGTAAAGGTTCAATATATATGACATAATGTACTGTAACACTTGACAAATTAACAGTTTTGAGAAAAGTCATACAAAATAGTACTTTTGGGACACCAAAGATGGCACACTTCAGTCTAAAATTATCCATAACATGCAGTATGTAATCCAAAGCTCTGACTTGAAAAAGATGATCTATAAACCTTATAGAGCTGTGAGGAAATCTGTTTTTTCATAGACAAAGATGTATATCTAGATCTAACTATATGTATGAGCCACTGACAGTGTCTAAAGCATTTTGTAACTGTTATGGTTGTTACCTTTTTCACTCTTCAGACTGGCTACAGATGTTTCTAAGTCGTCCCTGCTCATGTTCAACTGATCAACAGTTTCCTGCAGGTCGTTCTGAAAATATCAGAGTTCAGTTAGAAACAACTTGTACCTTACAATGTCAAGAGGATGCTGCTTCTTTTTAGGATTCTATAAACAATAGAGAAATTTTACCCTGTATACCTTAGCACCAACATGACAGCAGTCAATCATAATCAGCATTAAAAGTTCAATCCTAGCAGCTGCATGTGCTGGAACTTGGTTAACACAGCAAGTTACATTTTGGGAAAATGAAAATGTTCCTGTGCACCTGTTCTGCCTGCAGCAGCTGTTTGGCCTCCTGCAGCTGCTCCAGCTCCTGCTGCAGCTGCTGCACCTGAGAGTCCAGCTCAGCTTCCTCTGCAGAACTGTCCTGTTCCCCCTGCCGCTTCTCAAGGTCCATCAGACCCTGGAGAAATCAAAACAACACAACGCCTCAGCACAGAGTTTATCACAACAAAGTCAACATAGCAAAAATGTAATATACATAAATATATATATTAGACAGATTAGGATAACTTCCAAGCTGTTTCAACAACTTTGACATCTTGTTATATCCAGATAACATCCATGTTAAGCTACCTTTTGGGCCATAAGCACTGACAGGTTGTACTCCTTCTCCTTCAGCTGGTCTCGCAGTTTCACCAGAACAGACTCCAAAGCATCCTTCTCATTCTGCCAGTCAGACTTCACCATCTCAAAGTGCTCGATCTCACGCTCATACTCTTGTACTTGGTTCTGAGGGAAATGATGAATTATCTCAATGGTCACAGAATATAAAATTTCAACAGTTTTGAGAAAAAAACAAGTATAACAGAAAGATAATTAAAGATACATGATCTTGAGTAGTATATATTATTACTACACTCCATTGTCCAACACCCATTGATGAGAAAAGCCTTACCTGTAGGATAGATACAGCATCACTGAGGTCTGAACTGCGCAGGTCACTCTCAGAGGACATGTGTGAGCTGACTGACCCGTCATACTCTGTGTCGTCATTTGGCATCTTGGAGAAGGGGCTAAGTTTGTGCTTGGTGTTGTCCTGTACTCTAAGGATGTGCCCCAGGGCTGATGTGCCCTGTGCCTGGGATGTGTTCTTCTCCACAGCACTTTCTGTGTCGCTGTCTGCTGAAGCTCCCAGGGTCTGCTCAGAGTCAGACCTTCTCAGCTGGTTCAACAGGGTCATGTCACCAACTGGGTTTCCTACAAAATGAAACATGATGGAGGTCATATATTGGAGCTGGACAGTGATGCATGCAGCAACCCTCCACCACTCTGCTGTGCATACCTAACTATACCTCATATACATAATATACATACACCTACAACAAAAGTTCATGTCATTATTTAAATCAAACTCACCTTTTAATGTGTTGATCTCTTGATTAAGAGTCATGATGATGTCTTCATCTTGCTCTCTCTCACTGACAAGAGAGGAGACAGAATGTTCCAGCTCTTCCACCTGTGAAATAAATCACATCAATCTATAATTCATGTAATGATGTAACTGTTACATTGCCTTCATCTAAACTTGATCGGAACCATTACAATTTGGCTCTGCTTCCAACATACATTAAACAGTGTTACATTGTTCATTTTCACTATGAGTGCCCCATACCTGTGCCAGTAGCTGCTGGTTGTGTGTGTGTAGCAGTCTGTTCTCCTCCTCCAGAGAGTCCACAATCCTTTGTGTGATCTCCCTGTGCTGTGGACTGCCCATCTGTTCCATCATCTCCACTGTCTGACGGTGAACCTCGTCAGAATCTGCCTCCAGTGCTGCAACCACACTCCTGCTTTCTGATATCTGATGGGGAAGATGGCACAGATACAGCTTTAATCAATTTTTACACAGTACATACAGGATTCATGGGGAAGTTTGATGCTCTTCTTCTATCTAATATTACACTGAGGAGTATTGAAAGCATAGACATGATTAATCTTACTACAGCAGCCAGCACAATTCTTCCATAGCTAACATGGGCAGTAAGTGTAGTGAAGACAATGATTGAGTCTCTGGAAAGACTATAGACTCTAACATATCACAAGTAGTACAGAGATAGATATCTAAAGCAGCCATAATGACCCTCGTGTCACTGAAATTAGCAGCATATACTGATATAGTCTCTGAAAAGGTATCCTGGATAGAAATAATGTCTCACATACCTGTTCCCCGATGTCGGCCATTTCATTAGCAATGTCACACCTCTTCTCTGCCAGTGTGGCCAGTCTGTCGCCTGACTCCTGCCTGAATCTCTCCCTGACATCCTGCAGGTCCTGCAGCATGGTGCTGGTGGAGGCCTGGGCAGAGCAGGGCAGGAGATTTAACAACTCTGTCTCAACTCTCCACACAACACGCAGTAGTACATCAGATAAGTGCTTAAGTACAAGTTTCATGGCAGACGCAGCAGTGTATTTTTTTTGTTTTTGAAATCTGCATGTATTAGAGAAGTCATATACTAGTATCTCAGTTGTACATTGCCCCTTTAGAGATGTACTAAACATACTAAAATAGCCCTGACCATAAAGCTATAATCACCAATGATAATTCTGGCAAAAATTCTTGATTTCTTATTTCTCAAGGTATTCATGCAATCCTCTATGTTCACATCATGAAGTAATCTTTTCAGGCACAAGGTAGAAAGCATTGCAGCATTTACAACATGGATGTTATTGGTGCAGAGACCAGTGTTTTACAGATTAGAAAATTTGAGTTCAGCAGAAGTTGGGGAAATGCAGGAGCAGACTGAAAGGAAGGAAGTCCACTGTACATGATGGGATTCCAACTCCTCCCAAAGTCTTTCTTTAGTGGCATTCAAGGCATGGCTGACCTGTTTGTTCTCATGGAGGAGCTTGTCTTGTTCAGATTGCAGGCCTGGAACACAACACAGGGTATTTAGGTTGTATGATGTCCTGTTCTGAGAAGTGTGAACTGTGTTTGTGATGTGCAAAGACTGATGTACCAGTACTTTACAGAATCATTTTCAAGTAAGGCCATGTTGATTTGATTATATGGATGACATCCTCCGGGAGCCCCAAAACTGATGCGCGCGTGCGAATAAAAAAAAAGTTTTGCAAAAAAAAAAAGTTGTTTTCATTATGAAATCTACGTGGTTCTGAGGGTTGAACAAATGGGACAGAATATGGTTTGGCGAATAATCTAGTCTTCAAGTTCATTTCCTTACAATTTCGTCTTTTTTTGTTTGATTTTAGCATTCTACGACATTGGTATAGTTTTTACTTATTTTTTTGTAACTTACGGTATATTTTTACTCATTTTACAACTGTTTTGTATGATTTACAGTATGGTTGAAAACTTTTTTTTTTTTTTGGAAACGGCCGAAAATTCATGCGCGCGCGGATGTCATCCATATAATCAAATCAACATGGCCTAACATTCTATCCTAGATATAGCCTACATGCTACAATGTAACTACTGACAACTAAAAAAACTTAAATTCTAAAAATACCTTGCTTTGATGGGATGTTATTTTTATTACCTTTCATGAAGTTTGTCACGTCCATTTTCGTTTACCAGGAGAATGTACTAAATATATGGAGATGAATGTACTCTACCTACAAACACCATACATGGAGCAGTTGTAACAATGTATAAACTCATTACATTTCCAACTTTTCATATTATCAGCTACTTTCAATAAGCCAGCTTAGCATATCTTACTTGTGACGAGTTCTTGCAGTTCAGCCTTTTCCCTCCTGTACACATCCAGCTCTTTCTCCAGCCTACTACAGTCTGACTGTGACCCAATCAACTCTGCCTCAAGCTGCTGTCTCTCCTCCCCTGCTCTGGTCAGGTCCTCTGCCAGTCCAGCCTTGGACTTGGCCAGCTCAGTCATCTGGAGGGACAGGCTGGATTTTTCCGCCTGCACAGCTTCCAGTTGTTTGTTCAACATGTGCACCTGGTGGGACACATCCTCCAGGTCCCTGTGCAGCTGGGACACCTGTTCAGGTGTCGTGGTGTGATCTGCATGTTCCTGAGACAGGGTATACATCGTTCACCATGAGAGAAGGTAACATGGTGCGTACACTGTGAGCTTCTTTAAATGGGAATAGGCAAATTTGAGCTTGAAAAATTCAGCACAAAATATAGTCACAAAAATGAACACAAACGTTTATTCCTAAAAAAGACTGAATCTTACTGCCTATCATACATCTTAATTTAAATCTTTCACCTCCAGGAAAGATGGCTTCACAATTAAAAATTACAAAGGTACAATGTAATTGCAAAATACACAGAAATGAAACAAAGAATGTACCTGTTTGGATGCCATGTTCTTCCAGTGCTGGCACTCTGCTCGCAGACGAGCCAGGTCATTAGACAGACGGTTGATCTCCATCTGTGAGGAGATGACATCATGGAAGTCCAGGTCATCTCCTGTGTGGAGGTTACTGTCGCTGTAGGAGTGGGGGATGGTGTGGAGGGTGTCTGATGTCAGCACATGGCTGTGTGCACTCTGTGAACTCAGCTGCAACTGCCGCAATTCATTGATTTCAGCCTGTGAAAAAATGTTGAGAATAAAAATGATGGAAACAATTTCATAAATAGCCAACATATGCCTGGAAACTTGCTGACATGGGCATGGATCAAATCATCAAATGAGGTCCATGTCAAATTCTCAAGCTTCAATTAGGCAAGGTTACAACTTCCAGGATACAGCCTGTAAGTCACTCATCAAAACATTATGGTACATGTACTAGTAAATGTGGTTGATTCCAAGAGACTCCACATGGTCAGATGCTTTCAGACCCTTTCCACAAACTTAAGATGAACAATGGATTTTAACACAGATTTAATTATAGAGGATAAGAGGCAGGATTTTATTTCAAGTTGCAGCCACAGTCAAACAAACACAATTGAAATAGATGATCCAGTGGTAAACACCATTATCCCATCTTAAGCCTATTAGCTGGCTTCATTGTGTGACCCTTTCTGACATTGTGTCTGAATAGTCTAGTTTTTTTTGTGACAAGGAAAGAATAAGAAAGATCTTTACAATGTTGATCTACATTGTATTAACTACAGAGATAGTCAAGAACAGACAAGACTTAGTGATGTAGGAAATTATACCTAGAGGGAATAAAGTTTCTTTCTTCTGTCCCAAAAAAGGAGAATGCAACTATAGCTACTAATTACTGTAATTTCACATAACACCAAATAATTATCACACTTTCAAATAATTTTCTGCTTTAGATGGATAAATTCTACCACAATCAAATATTCTTCATTCCATTTGTAAGACTTTTACCCATTGATGTGAGGAATAATAGTACTAATAGGATAAATTCTTCTATCAATATGTGATTAACAGATGAACTGGAATTCAAAAATTTGAATTTCTTTTGTTCTTCTCATTATAACGTTTTTTCCCTTCGATATAGGAGGAGAGTACTCAGTCTTAACGGTACCTAAACCTTTGGCTCAGAAGATTCTCTTAAAAACAATGGCAAAAATTCAAATTTTCCTCCCAGCATGTACCGTTAACGGTTCTACAAAAGAGCAGGATATTGTAAAATGGCGGATCTTGCTGGCCGAGTGGCGTGAAATGTGGCGTTACAGTTGAAGCCCTCTCCAGGACAGCTGAGCCTATTGATACATCTTGTGAAGAGCAGACTAGTACTTGAGCCTGCGTCCTGGATCAAAGTGCTCGGGATCCAAAGCATGGAGGGTCTTTTGTCCATTATCAACACCTGTGCTGTAATTTGGTAACTTAATCCAGGCAAGCTGATGCAGCTCCCTCACGTTTGAATCCCCCCAGCCGCGTGGCCTGTTATAATTGCCATTGTTCAGGGGAATTTTCTATATTCTTTGCTACTTTTATCAGGAATACCATTTGCTACCAAGCATGAGAGCCTGTTAGATGTTTACAGTTGTCTTAGTTTAGAAGGTGGGCATATCACTGGCACTCTTCCTTTAGAAACTTAAGAAGAAACGTGAATAGTGACTAAAAGTACTCTGGGTCTGATAAAGTAGCATGCCCGGTAGCTTATTAAAGGGTGGGTTCTACTTCTTTGACAACACAGACTTTGCCAACAGCCACAGAACACAGGGTATTACCACATTACCACATGTTTGTTACACGGAGAACTACAATTACTATGGGCAAGTACCTTCCATACTGCTGGTCTTATTGCGTGCATCCAGTACTGTTGTGGCAATTCAGATAAATTCTTAACTTTAAACTTCATTAATACACCACATGCAAGTCATGTTGGATGGTGGCTGTCCCAACTACTAAGTACCTAATACCAGCCCAGAAGAGAACAAGAAATAGCCACGCATTCAAGTACCAGAGTTATCAACCAAGGATTGAGGTGTTCAAGAATTCATTCTTTCCTAGAACTATCGCAGAGTGGAACTCACTGTCACCAAGTACAGTGGGGGCATTGTCAATAGATAGCTTTAAACAATGTCTAGAGCTAGAAGTTCAAGGGTTAGGTGTAACAAGTCGATCGGTGTAATATAGCCAGCTGCCGCCGCGCCGTGTACCCACGAAGCTGGTGTGTTACGCCGAAAGGCGGTTATACCGGCTATACAGATACAGATACAGATGTTATTCATCAGATGGAGGTTTCAATTCTTGCAGCTGACAAAATTTACTTAAATTAAAATCTGGTACTGAATCCATTAGAATCATCTTGTAAAGAACAGATAATTCTCCTATGCTACAGAACCATTAAGTGGCAAAAGGACCAAATATTTGTTTAACCTCATTACAGCCAACAACTGCAAAGACACAGTTTCACAACTGATCAAGTTGAGGTTACATCTTACACATATTCTACAAACTCCAGTATTTCTAGTTCTTTGTGAAGCCAGAGTTTCCCACACTAACCTCCTTCTCCTCCAGACGTGCCCGGTACTCTGTGGAGATGTGCTTGACCTGCAGCTCAGCTGCCTCTGCCTTTTCTTCCAGCTCCGCATTGACCTGCTTAAGTCGATCACACTGGAAAACAGCACAGGAAGGACACTGTGGATTAATTCATTGCAACACAAGCACAAGGATCAGTTGATACACATCTAGGATCAGTTGATACACATCTAGGATCAGTTGATACACATCTATAGAGCTTGCTGTGAGAAACATCCCAACATACCGTCCTTCCAGAAAACAAAGTAAGAGATCTGGCATGGCTGCTTGTGGTGGTCAAACTAACATGACCAGCCAAGGCGCTTTCCTGGCTGCAACTGAAACATAGCCCGTGAGCAGCGGCAACATCTGTGTGTCTGAGAACAGGATGTGAATCCGTCACCTGACTTCTGACCAATGAGACTGCAGCCCTGAACAATGCTTAGGGAGGCAGCAAAGCATGTGAAGAACCCCAGTCAATAGGTAAGTACCTGTCCTTGTGGGTGCAGCTACAAGGGAGGCGGCTACCATGGTAATCTGGGCAACAATGCATTTCTATCCTGCTTGGTGACTTAACAGAGCCTGCATGCTCTAGTATGCCAAATCAATGCTAACAGGAAAGTTGGCAACATTTTATTGGCTTGAAACAAACCCTCCAGCATAACTGCATATTGAAGCATCCTTATCATGGGGTAATGGCACTTATGATAGCCATCTTGCCTTTACATACACGTGACTATCACGTTCTGACATGTCTGGAATCGCTGTTGTCCTTTTGTCTCCCAGTAACAACTATTAATCTGTGTGTGCTTAGTTCTTTGAGGAAAGGCACATAGTTTCTTGCCAAATCTAACAGTTGTTTCTTTAAAAAAAGAAACTTTGCTTTGATGTGGATGGGATCTGCTTGCATATATATGTAGCTGTCAACCCATGATAAGCTATAAAAATTTTCAATGAACAGTTTTTTCTCAATTCTTATGTGAATGGCATGTGATTTAAAGTCCTGAAGGACCTCATTTTAGAAACATAACATAATTTGTCAAGAACAAAACAACTGGAAGGGTAACATTTAAAGTGTGTTCTGATATTCCAAAATATTATACGACTGGGTTTTTAAAAAAGTAATATTCAGAAAGGCTCTAACTGAGTCTAAGCTCACCTCTGCAGACTGTGTCAGCACAGCAGCTTCCAAATTCTGGATTTTTGACTTGGCTAGACGTAGTTCTGTGTCAACGTCTGGAACATAAAACAGAAATCATTGCAATGCTGCAACATACATGTATTTGGGTATAACACCCCGCCTACTACATAGAGCTGTAAGTTGGGTAACTTTACAAACATAAGTGGCACTACTGAGCTGGCTTGAACAGATATGTTATAACTTAATCATGTGGTCTTGTGAGCATGACTTCTATAAATAAATTTATGGATATTAGCAGTACCCCCGGCCTGGGTTGATCATTTACTACATATCATCAGTAAATTTTACAACCTCTGGAAGGTTCATGTTTAATCTAGACAGATTTGATCAAAATAACAACTATAATAAAGCTGTGATCTATTTTCCATTGACAGGAAATATCTTCTATCTCTCTAACCTAAATGCAAGACAAATGCAAGATGAGGAACAATACATGCTACATGTGAGTGAGTAGGATACAAGATAGGCAGGTGGTTGGTGTAATATGGCACCATCAGTCAGAACATCCTGTTTTCAAGGACATAATCAAAACAGTGGGTGTGGCCATCTTCTTTGGACCATGTCATCATTCATATTTAGGATCAAATAGCACAGGTGCAAGATACATGGGTAGTTTGAACAACCCTTGGTTCCCAAACATTCTTGCATTCAAGAAAGGAATGGCCAAGATTTACATGAAGCATGTACTACATTGTACCTATTCAGGTTTTCATTGTCTAAAGAAATAAGTACATGTAAAATGCATGTAACTCAGGTACAAATGTATAAAAAAAAAGAGAATTGATTATCATATCATATTAACGGGTTGACAAAGAGAAAAGTGTACATTTTAGTATACATCTGGTCCAAGGCAAATTCATATTCAATCACAGTCTCCACAGGTACAGTCTATCTGATACAGTACTGTATAAAATTGACATGATTAATGCACTTTTCATAATCCTATACAGAGCTGTTGTTACCTTTCTACTGTGATTATATCTTTCCACCCTGACTGCTGTAGTACAAGAGTTAGAGTGCAAAGCAAAAGAATCTAACTAACTAAACAACAGGTAGTTTTATGGCTGGTGTCAGCAACTGCATTGGCTAGTACTGGGGGTACCTACATATACAACACCCTTGAACGATCCATAAAGTTTTACAGTATCGAACTTATGAGTCCACCAAGTGGAAACCTTGAAAGGTGCTGGTAATTTGAATTATTAAAGGTGGACGACCCTACTGTATGATGTGTAAGTCACACAGCCAAGCAACACACCCACAGCAAGTAACTATATATTCTGAATAGGTAACTGAAGCAGAAGTTTTTGATGTTTGGAGCAAAACTGACACGTGGTACAAAATGTTTATCTGGAAAGATGCATAAACAAATCAAAGTTCTTGTCTGTATAGGTACAGCAGAATGCTGCTTTCACAGGATAAACTGACCCATAGTTTGACACAACATATACCAGAAAGGAAAAATATTGTCTTGCAGTTTTTTCACAGATTATGCCTTAATATTTCAGTGTGACAAAATCAACATGCAAGAAAACTGAGAGAGACTGAGCATAAATTGCTACAGCTAATACTACTCCTGCTTACTTGGCAAAAGACAGAATGCTGTGAGTTAGGCTGGGACTTACAGTATTAGATTTAAGACAAGAGCACTTAGAAAATAGCTGCCATTTTGATAGCTCTGTTACTCTTACTCTTAGATTAAGTGGGGGAAAGGGACCTGCCTAAGCTGGCCACTTGTCCAAAGAAATTGCAAAGGCATTATTAGGGACCGAATATGGTCCATCTCTGCCTGTGACGACCAGGTCATTTTCACGCGTGCAATGGCGCACACCAAAACAGACAAGTATTCACACTAAATGAATACAGTGTAGTTTCACATTTGTTAGCTTTCCATATTTTGTATTCATGTGTCCTGTACATATACGTGTTTGATGTACAGTATACTCATTAGTCTGTATTAAGGACATGAACTTTGAAATCTGTGTCCCTGCCTTGATCATCATGCTTTTTGTATACTTGTAACTAGAACACTTGTCTAAGAAGACCACTTTTCCGGATGGACTTCTTACTTAATCTTAGACAAGTTTGACTGAATAACAGAAGTTAGCTGAGATATGTATTAAGCTATTTGATGGTGAACTCAAAAATTTGTAACACAATATTAGACAATAAGGAAAGATTATCATAGGGTTACTTTAGTAGTAGATTTTTAGCATACAGTATACTGAATGTCCAGTGTCCCTTACTAGTTGCTATCTAATCAATACAGAAACATGTATGGAGTAATCACAATACCTCCATTCATAATATGATTTACAGATATTCTTGAATGCATCATCACAAAGTGATATCACTACACATTTAGATGGCACAATCTCCTGTGCTATTAAAATTAATACCAAAATTACTATTACTGTACTATTTCCACACCTATATTTTTGGTACATATGATGGAAAGAGGACTGCCCACACATATAAATGTTGGGGAAAGTTGGGAAGACCAATTTTCTGCCCAGTGAATTTGAAACCAGAGACCATGTGACATTGTGTCACATGTGGTGATATCGACAACGTTAACACAAGACAGGTGCAGTGTCTCCAGTGAAGGACCAATTAATGACTAAGGCTACCACTCCACAGATATACCTTGAGAATACCTTGAGAAACCCTCAGTGTAGAAGGCTATCAGCCTGTAGTCACACTCTCCTCACTCTAGGTATTTTCTCTTGCTCCAACAGTCATCCAGTCTCGTCTTAAAACTGTTAACGCTTTCAGCCTTCACAACTGTACTAGGTAAGGAGTTCCAAGGTTGTACAGTCCTTACTGCAAAGGACTGGTGTCTCAGTGTTGTTTTGGCAATCGGCACCTTTAGCTTCAAACTATGCCCTCTGGTTTTCTCGCACTGCCTGGTTTGAAAGAAATTTTCAGGGTTGATCCGCTCATGTGCCATCATAATTTTGTATACTTGGATCATATCCCCTCTTTCCCTTCTGTGCTTTAGCGAAGGCAGCTTCAACTCTTCCAGCCTAGAGCAATACAGAAGCTCCTGTAGCTTAGGTACCATTCTCGTTGCCCTGTGTTGCACTTTCTCCAGCAGTTTTTGGTCTCCACTGAAGTGTGGTCCCCAAACGACATTAGTGTATTCTAATTTAATCTAAATGCGGCCTCACCATGCACTTGTATAGAATTGGGACCGACATTTCATCTAGATTTGAGAAGGTTCTCCGCATTAGTCCTAGTACCTGGTTTGCCTTTTGGGCGGCCATTGCTGTATTCTCATGAAACCTATGATATGAACAACTTTACACTCAGAAATACTGTAGTCCTATAAATATTGTGTTGAAAGGGACTGGGCATTGGTGGCCTTGAAACACTTTTACAACCACCACAGGGCATGACCAGGTAGAAGCTTCCATTACTTGCAAACTGGGGCAATTTTCCTGCATAGTCTGCTTTCGATTGAGGTACACGTATACCCACAAACAGACATAATGCAAAGAAATTTTGAGCACTCTGATCAAGATGGCAACTAACTCAAGGAGTTTTGTCTGTTGTCCTAAAAAAAATTATGCACTGTATGTTGTGCAAAACTTATATACTAGTAGCAGGTTGTTTATGAAAAATAATACTGTCATTGTTCATTTTGAAACAAGTTTGTTCAGTCAAAAATGTGAACATTTTTTGCAAACGTGGCAATGCCTGGTTCACAACTAATTGTCCACAAAGAAGATTCACAATTTGGACAACATTTAAATGGAACGTCGGTCGGTCTCTTCCCTGACCAATCCCCATAGCATAATTCAATTAAAATTATGACAAGGTGTGGGTGTGCCAGTTGACAATCGGGGCGGCGTAGTGTGGACCATAGTCTCGTGTAAGTTGGTTACTTTCTTTTATGATAACTGTTGGCTGACCAAGTCGTTAATGCGACCAAAGGATCTTACCCGAGACTTCTTCTGTGCCCTCGGTCAGAAGCTCCCGTGTGAAAGTGCTCAGCTGTCCCGTCAGAGACGACACGCTGCCCTGTAACCACGACATGCTGACACCGCTGGTCTTCTACACTGACATCTCAGATCCAGAAGAAGATTTCTAAGAAGAAGGACGACACGTCTGAGGGTATCTGTGAGCGTGGCTTGGTGGGTTAGTTGTTCCGTGTGTGTGTACTTTGTACTGCCAACTCGACGGCTTCCATGATGATGATGATGACTGAGTACCTTTTCGGTGGACCTTGTTGTGTGAACTTTAACCTTTAAGGGACCAATCATTTTTAATCTCGAGGTGTAACGTTATGTCTGTTTTGCATACTATCAATCGTAGTCAAGATAAACGACTCTTTTTCAAGATACTAATAGTCGTATATATTACGAATGAGATACTTTGTCAGTCATAATACTACATAGGATCGGTATTACAAAATGCCCCTCTTAACTGAGGTACTTTCCCCACAGTGTCAGATAGACATGGCCAAGCCAGGAAGTCTCCGAACATCCCAAATCTACTGAGCTGTCGTGATTGATTGAAGACAAACCGGAACAATGGCAACTCCTGATCTCTTTGAGGTGCTGTAAACATTGCTAAGTTGACATTGTGAAGTGCAGAATATTAGAAAGCTGAATTTGTTTGTTTAGCCATCATAGTCATGTAAAATGGGCGTTGCACACTAGCTGAAGATACCGGTAGTGGATTCATTCTTTTCTTATTTCGAAAGGATCAGGCCGATCTCCAACTATACTCTTGATCCAAGCAATTTAACATGCAGCCAGATTTGCATGATTCTATTTCTCTGTTCTCTGCTCTGTGTAAACAATGACGTTGTAAACAGTAATATGTTGTCATGTCCATTTGACAAATGGGTGCCAAATCGATGTCATTTGATAACAATACCCATGTGATATATTGTATTGGTTTTGCATTTCTCTGTTTTATAGTTCTCATCTTGACAGTCTCATACCTTCACTTATTCGCCTGATCAGAATATCTATTTGCTGTCATACAGTGTGTCTACATAATAATTACCCTGGATGCCAAACTCGTTCTTCGGGCGGCAAGAGCCTTTCGCCCGCCGGTCTAAATTACTGCTACGGGGGAGTCTAGCCCGGGGGGAGTTTGGCCGCCTTCCAAACGAAGGCCGATATACTCCTCTGCGGGCGAAGTACCCTGGCTGCCGAAAAAAACGGTTAGCGGCCTGTAAACTTGGCTGGCACCCAGGGTACATAATAATTGACTAAGAAACAAACACTTTGTGTGATGAGAAAGTTGACACACATTTGCCTAATATCCGACAGGAACCCTTTGATCCTGAGGATTATGTGGAGAGACTTGCATGGCGCCAACATGGGGGCGGGTCTAAGGGAGGTGCTGAGAACTTTGACCCACAGGTCTTACTGAACGTCTTCACACACACCATCGAGGAGCTCAAGGTGAGGTTTATAGCATTCTGTAAACAGAGTGGCTGTTTGTCAGCTGTGAATATTAATTTTTATTATGTGGCAATATGTATAAATCCTTGCAAACTTTGCTGTTGGTCAAATTGTGTAACCAGTGCTTCTGCCACCAGGCTCTATGCATCTTACAATGTAGAAGTTGTAATGTATTTATTTAACTCATAATGGTTACCCTGTCCAAGGTGCTGAATGAGAAAACACAGCGTCGTGTGGAGAAGCTGGAGCAGCTGTCACAGAAGGAGGAGAAGGAACACAAGGCCAGGGTGGCAGAGCTGCAGAAACTCAATCAGGTAAACTTAGAAGTTTTTTCAAGGACATTATACATACATTTTTTAAAGGTGAGTACCCCACCTTTATTGTGTTAAATTCAGTGCAAAATGATATGTCATTATCTTAATATTGAAATGTAACCATATCTCTGTCCTTTCATTCCACAGATGGCCCTGAACCAGTTCCAGGAGCTGGATGAACGGATCAACCACATCGCCACCAAAGTGGTTCACCTAGGAGACCAGCTGGAGGGGGTGAACATTCCCAGGGCACGGGCTGTGGAGGCAGAGAAACTCATGAAGTACTTCTCCGAGTTTCTCTCTGGGGACATCAAGTCTGATGTCTTTACAGACCCCTTTAGGGTAAAGCATTACTGCAAGGTTTTGTCTTGTTCTTGATAAGGCATGTTGTCCTTGTGTGTGATTAAAAAATCCAGTCATGAAACAATAAACATCACAATTAGATATATTCTTCCCTGTTATTGGGTTAATTGGCCCAAATTGTAAATCCCATTGTCTCATTATTTGCAGCTGCAAGAAGCAGCAGATATCATTCAAAAGTTGCACCTGATTGCCCAAGAACTTCCTCCAGACAAGTAAGCACCATACTTAGTCATTTCTTCTAGTTTTATGTTGTCATTTATAGATATCTTGATGTCTGTCTATTTACTGCCATCTGTCAACCAAAAAATCTTATAATCAATTGTATGTTACATATCATCGAATACTTATATCATATGTATGTAAATACTTCTAACAGGTTTGATGCTGCCAAGGAACGTATAGCTGGTAAGAGAATTCTACTTTGTTTGATTTGTTTGCTTAATAAGTCAGCTAATGTAATTTGAAAAGACAGTACCAAACCGTATGTTGGTGAATTATAATAATTATAATGGATGTTGTATACTTTTAAAGACGAAGGTATTAACAGTATTACAACATATCATTCCTGCCTGACAAGTACACTAAGACTCAGGCTTATGCAAAAGTAGCATTGATAGTGAGTGGTACATTCCTTCTGAACTAGCCAAGTACCTGGAGATAGAGAGTAACCTGGTGGAACAGTTCAAGACAGCTCATCAGGCTGGTCAAAAGGAAGAGATGAAGGAGGTGGCTGCAGTGCTCTTGAACTTCAAGGTTGGACAAAATATCTTCCTATGAACCTGATTCAATGGATAATTTGTGTTGTGCTAGTATTTAATAGCCTGGTATCCAGCCTTGTTAGCTTTAGTCCGCTACCCAAGATCCGCTCCCCGCCGGCAGGGAGCGGATCTTGGGTAGCGGACTAAAGCTAACAAGGCTGGATACCAGGCTAAGTATTTAATATCCTCTTGTGAGGTGGCTTACATCATATTGAAGTATGTATAAACCTGTCAATGGTCAAACCCTCTTACTAAAAAATAAAACATTGTTTAGCTAAACAGATACTTCAAGAGCATTAGATAAAGTAGCAGGTAATTGATCCTTGTTCCATGTTTATTTCTACAGGGATATTCCCACTGCATTGATGCCTTCATCTATCAGAGTCAAAAGGTACCGTTCAACATTCCATAGTCTTAGTATTTCATCTAAGTTTGCACCTCAGAGAGTAAAAACAAAGAACAGTGGTATTGTTTAATGGAAACAACATCAGTTCTGCACTGTTAAGTTGATTGTTGAGTCATCCGTCTAAAGACATTTTGGGCTAGAGGAGCTGAAAGCATAGTATTGTAGCTAGTTTAATGCTTAACTGTTTTAGGTGTGATATGACTGTATGTTTATGTATTGTTCTCTTTGAACAGCATGCCATGTGGCACAGTGATGTGTTCAGGGGCATTACACGCCTTTGTGAAGAGGTAGGTCAATGTTTTCTCCCAAATTTCTTTTTTTTTGGTAAATCTATCTAGAGGACCTAGTTTCTATTGATCTCCAAATTTATGCCTTGATAAGAAAGTATATCTGAAAAATTTGACAGTATAAATCTAGCTGTTGATTTCCCTCTGGTACATGTTGAAATGGTCACAAAAGTTCCAGTTAACACAAGCTATATTACTAACTTGACCAGCTGATTATGATGTCTGAAGGACCTGCGCATGTTAGACTGTATGACTGATTCTTCTCTGTTCTCAGGTGAACCAGTTAATTCTGGAGGTATTTAGCCAGCCTGAAAATGTGATGATGAAGTTTGTCTTGAACATTTATGAAGGAAAGTTACAGGTATGTTGCTGTTTCTAGATTTGCAGGTTTAAAGTGTCATTTTTGATGACGTATGTATCACTCAATATTGTGTTACCAGCATATATTATTGAACATACAGTCATGTATTTGAAAGAAATAATTTTCAGGTATGGCATTTCATATTATATTTCTTACTATGTTTTTTCCTTCTCAGGATCATATCAAAGAAAGTCTGGACAAGCACAGAAGTGATACTGAGAAGTATCTGAAAACATTGTTCCAGCTATTCCAGCAGTATGTATTACTGGGTATTCAAATTGCATCCCATACTGACTTATTTTTGCTCAGATTTGTTTCAACAAGCTCCTGTGTTCATAACTGAGTTAATGTTGATAGATATTTGATTGACAGCATCAATGATGCACTGTAGTAACACTGGACAAATGTTACACTTCAGGACCTCCCAGTTGTCTGCAGACTTGTCCAAGTACAAGCTGGGGTCTGACGCCAACTTCCTCAACAAACTCACCAAGCACATATTTGGAAAGTACTTGGAATCATATATTGGGTATGTACTGTCAGTCTTGGAACATGATGATACAAAGCAAAGTTAGGAAGTATATACACTAAGAATAACTAAAACTGCATCTATGGAAAGACCATGGGTCCATGCAATACACTTATCAGCTGCTGTTCCTGATGTCGTTTTCAGCACCATGGACAGACACTACATTGCAGCTTAGTGTGGGTGCACCAGATTCCATAGTTCACTATGTAATATCTAATCACTAATTGTAGAAAAGATGAAAAGCAAATGTTCAGTGTACCAACTTCTAGTCAGAACAGCAAGACATTGTGACTTTGATCATTTTGGAAAAGAAAAGAAGATATGGAATTAACGTTGACTGGACACTATCAAAGTTTGGGTGTGTTGACAAGACGTTCAATAAATATTATATCTGTGTTTGTTGCAGTGTTGAAACCACATTTCTAAAGACTAGAATGGACATCATCTTGAATAGATACTACAATTCCATCAACCACCAGAAGAGACACATCCCCTCTGGAGGGTGAGTTCTGTACATACATTATGTATTTGGCACTGTTGCTGGTTCTCTTAGCTTCCTCAGCTAACTCCCATTCCTAACAACAAGTAATGTACCGGTATTGAGTACTAAATGGAAATATCCACTTGGGAGACATGAAGAAGTAGTGCAGTCTATTGTCCAGCATGATAACTTGTTGAATAAATAAGATGTCTTCAGAATGTTATTGAAATGTTTATCTTAATCTTGTCCATGTGCTATTTTTTCTCAGTATCCATGACCTACAGGCTAGAATCCGAAACAAAACCAATTTGAACATTGGCCCAGCCATAGAGACATACGGAGGGGAGACCTTCCTGTCACAGGAAGTGGCCATCAATCTCCTACAGGAATCTAAAGAAGCACTGAAGAGATGTGAATTGGTGGGTGTGGTAGTGTAGTTATGGTTCCTATAGTATTTGTCATCTTTGCCTCTGTTTCCAATTAACAACAAGAAAGACTGGTATATAATAATAACATAGTGGCATTGGTTGGTCCTCAGTGAGAAAGGCAAAATGGTGTACATAATGAAAGTATAAAAATGTATGTAGATGTGTTAGATAGTTACACCCCAATGAAGGATGAATGATGATCGTGGTGATGAGAGATCTTGACTTACAATAGCCTAACTAGAACAAAAATGTAAATGTGGGCAAACCTGTACATCATACAGTCTGTACTTGATGGTTTTACCAAATAAATGCTGAAAATAATGAAGATGATAGTCCATACTTAACTTTTTGTTGTTACTATACAGCTGTCCAGTAGTAAGGACTTGCCTGCCAGTGCCGTGAGGATCTTCGACATCCTGTTTGAGAAGCTGTGTATGGAACACATTGACTATGCTGTGGACATAGGTCTGCAAGGTGAGAAGATATGAGTGAGAGACATGTAAATATTGGAGGGAAAACCATAAGAGAACCCCTGTCTTTCAGTGTGTTTTCATGTGTGTCAGAACATAGATGATTATGATTGTTTTGATATTTTAGTCTTGAAGATGACATGCTTGCCTAGAATATGAGGCATGAAACACATTATAAGCTCAACTGATTTGGAAATCTACCTCCCAAGCATTAATATCTGATAGAGCATGAATGGTGTAAGTTACTTGCCATTTACTAATGAAGAAACACATGACTCCCATCCAGCCATCTCCATCCCTGAACCTAAGACTGAGCCAGAGATCTACTTCTTTGATGTTGTTGGCCAGGGCAATGCCATCTTCCATCTGCTGGAGAAACAGTTCAGTGATGCTCTGGTGCCACTCATCATGTAAGTTCTGCAGTCTGGGACATTGCTATTGTAGACTGTAGTAGTGACAATTGTTTCCGTTTTACGGGTTGTTGCAGGGAGTGTTGTCACAACTTAATTTTAGAAGAAAGCCTGTGATGACACCCTATCAATGTCATAATGGATTCTGAATACAACACTTGTTAGATGAATGTACATGTACATGTAGCTATTGATTGCAAACATGGCCCTCCCCAGCTCCACACCACGATACCAAGAAGCAGTGACCAGGAAGAGAGAGATCATGGAGCTGATTGACAGCAAACTTGATGGGGGACTGGATAGGTATGTTGTGTTGTCTTTTCATGTTAGCCCTCTATATCATATGATGATGACAGGTTCATTGGGTGCAAAGATTTGGGTGCACTGTATATGTACATACAATGTATCATGAATTGAAAATTAGGGATTCTTACCTGAATTATGTGATACAAAAAACTTTTATGTCTTATTCTGAATAAAAATGTTAATCTTATTTAAGAAAAAAATCTATTCCTAGCAGACGGGAAATAAGACGTATCATTGATCCTTTGAATTATCTTCCACAGAACCATCACTGCTATGGTTGGGTGGATCAAACACATCTTGACTACAGAACAGAAGAAAACAGACTTCAGACCAGAGGATGACTCTGCACTTATGGAGCTTTATACTCCTGTAAGATGGTCTCAGTCTTTCAGACTAACAGATGGCAGCTGATGTAGACTTTACATGATGTTTCCATTTTCCTAATTGGTGATACATAAACAGCACATACTGATTTTACATAAATTGCACAAAAAGACTACATATGTACTTTTTTCTCTGTTTTGCTGAATCGTAACAATGCCTTTGCCCTTTGGCAGGCCTGCCACAAAGTGACAAACTTCATCAGGAAAGAAATCATCAAGATGCGGGATTCCTTGGATGGGAAGAACCTTGATGCAACTCTGACTGAGTTTGGTGTCAGGTTCCATCGACTGGTGTATGAACATCTCCAACAGTTCACATATAACCCCAGGGGTAGGTGCACTTCAGGCCATATGGTATAATCAATGTGGGCTTGTATACAAAATGTGCCATGCTACTTTATGCTTGTATGCAAGATGTGTATTTGTGTACTGTGCCACTTTGTACTTTTTGGAGGCATATGTTATTCAAACCACTTAAGTTCAAATTTTACATATCTAAATTAAATATTCCCAAATAATTTCTCATGAGATCCCATTGTAAACTTTTTTAAAGATGCCTTTGTACATTGTGGACCTGTAATTCTATATGCAGTGTTTGGTTTGGTTTGAGTTTGTGAAGTTTAAGTGCTTTAGATGTTGTGTGTGTTACAGGTTCTATGTTGTCCAGCATTGATGTTTAACTGTCAGTTTGTGTGTTCTACAGGTGGTATGCTGGCCATCTGTGATGTGAATGAGTACAGGAAGTGTGTGAAGGAGGAGCTGAAGGTTCCACTGGTGGACAGCCTGTTTGAAACCCTCCACGCTCTGTGTAACCTGCTGGTGGTGGTGCCAGACAACCTCAAACAAGTCTGCACAGGAGAGCAGCTGGTGAGTGGGTTGATGGAGTGGTTATTTTAGTTGTTGGTTTTCTACATGCTTGGTAGTTCTGTATTACACAAATTATTTTTGAATCACTTTGTTAGTTGGACACGTACCAACAAAAGATGGCAAATAAGTTGGGTTTTATGTTGAAAGATGTGCAGGTCATGTAGCCCAGGACATGTCTTTTGAAAAGATTATTCATATTGGTACATATTTAATTATGAATGGAATGATGATTAATATACGGTGTCCATCATTCCCCTGTTTCTCCCCAGGCAAGTCTGGACAGGTCCGTAGTCATGTCCTTTGTGCAGCTGAGGGCAGACCATAAGACAGGCCGACTGGGGAAACTGTTTGCTGACTTTGCACAGAAGACCAGGGAACGAGCAGGCACTGGGCCATCTGAGCATGTTGCCTTACAGTGACACACAAAGTTGCATACTGTACAATCAGCACCTTACTTTTAGACATTGTATCTGCCATCTTGTCTAAAATAGTTCTATCATGTTAGATATTGAGATGTCTTCCATCAAGCAAATATGGTTAGCAGTAAATTCAACTCCTTGTATTGCTTTAAGTGACAAATATGAAGTATTCTCCATTTCTATGTACTGTAGTGGAAACATTTCTTGCTGACAATTTAGCAACTAGAAATCAGCTGGACAATACCCACTGATGTTAAATTATGAGCATTACCATGTTTACAGTCAACTGAAGCAATCGCTTTTTCCACAGCTGTAATTATCATTATGTTTTCCAACTTCAGATTACCAGTGTGACGTAAGTCTAATGTCTGGACAGAATATCTGACCCAAAGAAGTGTTATTATAAAGCTATCATTTACATGAATAAGATGAAAAAATATTGTCCAAGATTGGTTTAGCTATATAACCAATGTTGTAAATGAGCATAGAGGACTGTAGGAGCACAACAAATGATCAAGTTACTCAGATATTTATCCAGTCATTCTTTCATCACGCCAAAAACAGTTACTCAAGCAACTGGATATGATTTTGAAAACGTCAGACGTTTCAGCTAGTATCCACTAGCTTTCGTCAGTGACTGAGAGACCAGAGGGGAAAGCAGGTTTATAAGCACAACCTATTGATTGATATGCAAATAAAGTGAAGACATTCAGTTCAGCTCTCATCAGTTCAGTTCAGCTCTCATCAGCTGAACATCAGTTCAGCTCTCAAGAAATTGCAAACTGAAGGAGTTCTGGATCGCCCCACCTACCTAAAACTCAATCCCACAACGGAACAACCCCCTGCTTTCTACGGCCTTCCCAAAATCCACAAACAAAGTGTCCCTCTACTACCCATAGTCTCCAGTATAGGCTCTGTCACCTATGAGTTAGCAGGTTTTCTAGCCAAGATTTTGGGACCACTAGTGGGGAAATCTCGGCACCATGTACAGAATAGTGCCGACTTTGTCAACAAAATCAAAGACATTCATGTAGAGGATGATGAAACCATCACTTCGTATGACGTGTGCTCACTTTTCACCTCCATACCACCTAAGGAAGCAGTGTCAGTAGTCAGGGAAGCCTTGGAAGCCGACGATACACTTGCAGATAGAACCAACCTATCCGTTGACCAAGTTTGTGAGCTACTAGAACTCTGCTTAGGATGCACATACTTTACCTACAAAGGACAGTTCTACCAACAAATGCACGGCTGTGCTATGGGATCACCAGTTTCACCAATTGTTGTAAACCTGTACATGGAGAAGTTTGAAAACAAAGCCCTCAGCACTTTCAATGACACTCCCCCGGCCAACTGGTTTCGATATGTAGATGACACTTGGTGCAGATTGAAAAAGAGGGTAACTGCAAGCCAAGCCATGACAACATGCTCCCTTTCCTAGACACCAAAACTATCGTAGAGGAAGATGGTAACCTTCGTTTCGAAGTGTACAGGAAACCAACCCACACTGATCAGTACCTGGCCTTTGATTCCCACCACCCTTTGGAACACAAACTAGCAGTGATCAAAACTCTCTTCCATCGTGCAGACAACATTGTCACTTCAGACCAAGCCAAAACGGACGAACAAAAACACTCCCTGGCTAAATGTGGCTACCAAAACTGGACTTTCAACAAAGCGCTCAAACCTTCAGACCAGTCTAAGAAAACCCAGAAGTGCAAACCAACAAAAACTAGAGGTCGGAGATCTCATGTCTTCGTCAGAGGTACATCGTTCTAGAGAAATTAACATGCGTATTCTTCACTCTTTTTAATAATCAATTTGGTCTAAAGAACAAAAGAATCTCTGTACTATTTTTATGGTACAGAACACCCTGAAACGGTTTGCCGCAGATTATACAGATGCGTCGTCACCCGTGTTAGCCCCCCCCCCCTACGTTATTTGAGTTTGGACTGTTAGGCCACACCAAGTAAATTTTATGGATGACGTCCTTTGGAGACCCTAAATCTAATGCGAGAGGGCGAAAAAAAAAACAAGAAAGGCCCTAAAAAACAAGATGCCTAGATTAGAAATATACTAAGAGACGACAAATGTTAGGACACAAATTGAATGAGGTGACACAGTGTAACAAGCAAGAAGTCTTTTATTCATCATCAAACAGCAATAAATCAGG